AAAACATTGGAGACCTCTGGAGTCTTGCCCTATGGTTGATTGTTCCTGTCCACTTCCCCAGGGCTCGGGGCTTGTTGATCCCCTGCTTCACATCTTGGCGTTGAGTGGCCAGAAGCATGACGCCTCTTGATAATGCCACACTAGACTACGTATAGGCTGTAGGAGATTGGATTGGATTAGATGAACGAATGGGGGAAATCGTCACTGAGATTGGGTGGTGCCCCTGAGAAGAAACGGCCTTGGCGACATCACAAGTGTCGCTTGGGCTTACTTTATCACGCAAAAACACTGCGCTTGAACCATGAAAAACAACAAACGCTAGCTGAGATGAGGCTTGAATCATGCAGCTAATACCTTCAAGGAAAGGAGAGAACGACTAGCATGTCGATTCCCCGTTGTTGAGCAAATTCTAGGAGACCATACAACAAACCATGTGCCTTTGCCCCTGGTTATCTGCAAGCTATTCATATGCACCTTTTTGCCTTTGCTTTTTCTTCATCTTTTTCCCAGTTCATTTGTTTGTATTGCGCTGACAGAGCCATTCCGTCGGCTTGGAGGGCAGCGCCCAACCGCACGATATGCCCGATGCAACATCAACATCGGTGATTGTGAGCTTTCTTCCTCGAGCGACCGTTACATGTCCAGAATGAAAACTGACCCTTGCAGGCGGGCGAATGGACTCTGCTGTCTCTAGCCCTAGTCCTTGTTGCCGCCCGCGTGTTTGCCCGCATACATCTTAATAAGGACAAACTCCATCTTGCCGATATCTTCCTCCTAGTGGCGTCCGCTTGCGCGTTGGCGTTGGTTGTATGCGACACGCTGGTATACAATGTCGGCACCATGCACAACTACGAAGATCCGGGGGCATATACCCTACTAGTACGGTGTCTTCGATCATCCTGACTAGCTACTCTCGCTAAAGACTCGACGCAGATCAGGTTCACTGTGAACTACTGGTTTGATTTTGGGTGAGTGACGACTTCCAATAGGAAAGCAAGATTTGGTTCTGACGCGGGATATTAGGATGTATTTCCCCAAGTTCAGTATCATCGCCTTTTACTACACACTCGTCCCGCGTACACAACCTCGAATGCGACAAGCGCTGTATGCCCTCACAGCTATTACGGTGGCAAGTTCTCTTGTGACTTTCTTCGATGCGACACTGTGGTGCGGAGCGAATATAAAATCAAATTGGTACGCGCTTCTGTATGGGTATAGAACCCGGGGAAAGTTCACGTCCGCTGATGTTATCATATCCGGAATACAGGTCAGAGGATCCCGATGCTTGCAGAGCTTATGATTCCATGGTCATGATGCGAATTCACTGGTCATTGAACTTCACCACAGAAGTATTGAGTAGGTTCCTTGTCGTTCCTCAGAGTCTCCATTTCCTAAACGCCGTGACTAGATGTCTTATTTCCGTTCCCTCTGATCCGAGACCTCAAACTCCCTAAATTTAGAGAGAAGGTTGGCTTGGCTGCAATACTGGGACTCGGCATAATTACTATCGCCGTTAGCATCGGCCGATTTGTCAACATGGCCGTTGGAGGCAATGGCTTCTCAAATTGTGAGTGTTACCCTCTCTCCACTGATGGACTCGGTGCAATTGATCCTAATCACCCCAAATAGATTTATGGGCCACATCCGAGTTGTGTGTCTCGATTATGGTTGTTGCACTCACAGCTTTAAGGCCGCTCCTCCGGAAGATAGCTCGCCTGATCAACGCAACCAACAGCGACAGCGATTACAAGTATGGAGGGACCTCTGCCGGCTTGCATACAAAGACCGGCCGATCGAAGCCAACACACACCCAAGGTTCAGGCGTCTACTGGAGGACTTATAGCGGCCCTGGTACGACTAAAGACGGTGAGGATGAGAGTGAGGTGGAGCTGCATGGCATCAAGACGAAGAATCATGTGATAAAGACTGAGGAGATCCAAGTCTCAACTGAAGACGCAAGAGCTGAGCATTCCAAAAAGCCTCTGGGTACCGAAGTATCAGTAATGGCATGAAATATGGCACTTGATGGAGCGAAGGATTAATAGATAGAGGCGTCATAAGAGCAGAGACCGCAGAGTCACCTCGACAACATTATTATGGTAGTCACATAATAGTACTTCCCATTGTATCATAATAGCTAATCATTTTGTGTATAAAAAAAATACGTTTTCAAGAACTAGTCGATAAGCGATTGTTACAACACAATATTACTTATCATTCTTATGATTGTACCAGAAAGTTGAGATAAGAAAACACTTTTGCAGTTGCTCTCACACCCAATTAACACGATTAAACACGTAGGGGCCAGCTAGTTCCGCTTATAAGCACTTTCGCAAATAATCCAAATCTTGGTATGCATATAATGAAACACTCACTACTGTTTCCTTGTACCATCACTTTAGGCTGAGAGAGTATACATCAAGTTAACATAGCCGTATAGCCATAGAGAAAGGTTGAACAGAATGAAGTAGTGATGAAGATGTTGAGTATCAACCCAAGTCTCCTATTAGAGGAATCAATCGTAGTCCTGGATTGAACAATCAGAAAATAACAATGATATCGCTTCACCTTTTGAGAAATTTACATGGGAAAAGGGAAAATGAATTCGCAAAAAGACAAAAAGGGACAAAAGGAAATAGAACCTGACACACAACAAACAACAAGCAACAATCGTGGCATATTGTCTTCTATGAGCAATACTTATTGTCAGGACGATTGTCAATTAACACAATGTTAGCACCGCTGCTCCGTTTTGCTGGCCGAGGTGGCGCTGTGGTTGATTGAGGGCCACTGTGAAACGACAAAGCCGCCCGGCCAATATATTGGGTTGTGATGCTGATGCAGTGGGAGTGACGCCATTGATAAGATCAGATTAGATTGTGATCGGTATCGGTGTTGACAATGATAATGATAAGGCTGTGATGGAAGGCAAGAACCAAAGGGGCTCATGTCAGTCTGCTCCTTCCCGTTCTTTGCAGAAACAGCAGCACACACGTCTACCGTGACGCGTCAATCTTCTTTTGGCTTCCATTCTTTTCTCTTCTTCCCCTCTCCCTCTCCCTCTCCCTCTCCCTCTTCCTCTTCCTCTTCCCCACTCTCTTCTTCCCCTCATCACTCTCTCTTCATCATCGCCTTCTCGTCGCCATCGCCTTCATCATCATCATCTGCTCTTCACCGTCGGCTTCTCTTCCTGAGAGCCATTAGACCACCAAGGGTATTGCGGCCGCCACCTCCACCTTCGCCGGCCAAGACCCCGTGAGCTTACTGATTAAATCAAGTCAATCAGCTGAAGTCCAGCGCTGATCCCATCATAAGCCCGCCGCCGAGTCTGCCACCGGGGGAGATCCTGTGAGTTTACTGATCAAATGACGAAATGTTTTGTGAATGGTAGCGCTGACAATGTTCTAAGCCTGCCAACCCCGCCACCACGGGGAATACTGTGAGTTGGCCATTCCCAAATGTATTGTGACAACTTCATCTGACGCTGCCATGTCATGTCTAGCGACCCAAGCGAGTCGTATGTCCTTCCTCCAGCGATCAGACCCCATCTAACTATTAATTGACTAAACGAGCCCTACCTTGAAGAAAAAGTTTAGCTTGGAGGTAAGTTATTCACCATTTTTTTTTGTTTCATTGCATCCCTGGGAGCAATATCGGACTAATTTTTGGGTAGTGGTGGTAGAGAAAAGCTATGACATACTGTAGAGCAAGGAAAATCAGCTGGTGGTAAGTTGATTCACTTAATGAGCATTTCCAACATACCATGATACTAACAAGTCCATAGAATGGAGAAGCCCTTGTGCAGGTAAGACCAACCATAACCCAATTGTACGGGATGGATTGCTGACGAAGGCCCGTTCGAAGGGTCAACTCGCACTAAACCAGGTGAAGAGACCTTCATACTATTGAATCCTTTACAATATTAACAGACCTTTAATACTAGCTTCATCGGGACGAGATCGCCGTAAGTCCGCACAATCGTTCGTCTTTAAATGATCAAACTGACATGATAAATGCAAAGGCTTTTGAATAGTTCAGAGATGTTAGTATAACCATTGGATTACTATCCTAAGACATTACTGACATCGGAAACAAATGTAGATCACCGAACAGCAGGTTGCGGCAAGTATTCACCATGTGCCAATCTAATTATTGACTTTCTAATACGTGCTAGGCTTTGGGAGGCTCTAGTTTCGGCCTTAGTCCTAGCAGCAAAATGCTTCAACAGACGCAGCAACAGTGCTTGAGCCTGCCCCTCGCCCCTCGCCCCCCCCCCTCTCCTACCGCATCTGATATTCTCTCCACCTCTTATATTATTGTTGGAATATTGGGTGTTCAATTGCGATTAATTGTTTTTCTCCTACTTTCTTACGCATCACCTTGGAACTTTCGTATTTTGAATACTTTAGCAGTAGTCGCAAATACACTTTTCGTTTAGGGCTTCGACCTACATTTTGACGCAGGCATCCCAAGTATAAAACCCACGAATAAATTGCCAGAGCTACATGTTTCTGATTTACTGCACACCGAGGCGTCATCACTCCGGGCAAGTAGTTAGTGGCGTGAGTTGAAAAGAGATACTCCAGCCCACCCAAGGATCCAGTGCGCAAAGAATGAACAGAGAAATGACCATATAAAGATGACTTCAAGGTCATTGAATAGGGTTCATAGCAAACATTTAGCATGAAAGTCAGTTCTCAACGAGTGGCGATGACCCCTCATTGCTCTCGCGTATTTGATGGGGTCCTTCCTCTACATAAACGTATCTTCATCTCAACAAACCAAGATCATCCGAATTTCCCCCAATCTGATTCCAAAATCAAAGCCTTGACATTGAAGGCCAAGCTTGCCTCGCAATTGAGAACCGATGCGGCAGGTGCAGCCACGAGAACGACAACATGACGAGCAACACAAGTCATATGATGGACTCGCCGAAGCCCTTGGCACGTTTCCATTTATTTCCTAGGCTTCCTGCCGAAATACGTGTAATGATTTGGAAAATGGCTTTCGTCGAACCCTGGCTTCCAAAACTTCATTACTATTCTCTGTCCAACGAGGACCACCCCGGATTTAGGGAGAGCTATCTTCCTTTGCTATTATGGGCTCACATGAAGTGCCCTAAATCAGAGGGCGAACACAATCGATTGCAAGATGAAGAGCCAGTGCCATTAAAGGACCGTCGTGTATTACGAACTCACCGCGCCACCTTCGCTTGGGCCCAGGCCAATCGGTTCCAGTACTACTGGAATGCGGGACTTCGAACTGCTTGCTGGGAATCTCGGTGTGCTCTGATTGAATGCTGCAAAAAATGGAGGATAGCAAGAGCATTGAAGAAGAAACCAAAGAAGAAGCCTGCTTCGACAAAACGACGAAGAAAAAAACCGCTCACAAAGCGTCAGCTTTCATTAAGGAGGAGGAAAATCGCGGCAGGCCGTTCGATGGCTCCGATTAAGGAAGGTCGCCATACCATTTTCATAGACTTCTGTCCTAGGGATATTATCTGTTTTCGGTTCCCGGCAGAACACCTAGCTGCTTGTGTCTTTCTAGAATGGGACACGATGCTCACTCGTCTTCCTTTCTTCCAACTTCCTTACAACTCAGACGTGAATCTTGCCTTTGAATTTGAGGATGGTTGGGAAAGGGGCTTAGGGCGCACGGCAGAGTCAGTGCGTGGCTGTCTTTCTGAAGCATCAGTCCGAGGTCTGATCATGAGACTCCACTGGTCCTGGTCTATTGGCAAGGTCCCTCTTTGGACTCGAATATACCTTGTCACCTCCAAAAAGGATATTCCAATTCGCCCAACCTTTCGTCGGAGCAAAGATCACCGATATGACTTCGACCGTCTTTACAAAGCGGATTTCAACTGTAAGCGGAAGCCGGATTATTACTTCTTCGATGGCAAACACAAGTTTTTTGATGCTTGTGCTTGGTTTGGTACTTATCCTCCCAATTGGTGGATCAAGTCACCTATTTGCGACTTCATCTGGAAGGTTCACAGATTTTGTCGACCACAAGGGACAGACGACCTTCACAATCGTGAAAATAACTTACCAGAGCCTTGGGACCATTGCCTCAGAATTCTGGGACAGGTATCAGCCAGCAACGACATAAAATAGACTTTCATGAGCGTTCAGTTTGGCTGTCTGCTTGCAGCTAGAACCTTGAATACGGCTATAAGGCGCTTTTTGCTTCTTTCTTTCTTTTTCTTTTATTTTCTTAGTGAATTGATAAGAGGCTAAGCTTATCAGGACAGGCTCTCAGATAGTTTGGAAAGTAGGAAATCAAATTATAACAGAGAGGCTAAATACGCATTCAAGTTACTGGGGGTTGAAACAAACTATGGAGGCCAATAGGTTAGCGTTGTCGCGGTGAAGACTGTAGATGTTATTCACATCGACTATACAGGATTGATGTTTTAACCCTGTTTATCAGATTTCGGGTCTTGGGTCCTTGATTTAGGCTCCATATGAAGTCTTGGAAGTGTGCCGCGATCAATCAATAGCCACGAAAGCAATGCTGTCTAATCTAAAATCGAGAATTTGTCGAGGACACATCTGAAAGAAAGGAAATATAAGGTAACGCCAAAAACATCATACCAGCACATCAATCATTTTTGTCATTTTAAGGTTCTTGTACTCTACGTATCAAAGGCGGTGCCATTGTCAAGAGTTTTCGCTGACTAAATGGGTCATTCTACCCAACTTTGCTGTCGCTGCGGCTGAGAGTGGGACAACATAACAGCGCGCTTCTTCCGTCAGCCGTTGGTCATGTGAAACCGTTTTCTGAGGAATCGTCTCCTCACCCTGGCCTGTTTAGGCTGACAGAAGGCGCTGGTTGGCAAAAAAATCCAGCTGAACTTCGGATGCTCTCAGCCACCACACCGCCACGCTGCACCCAGATGGAGCTGGATCCTGACCCCGCCGACCATTCTTCGTATTAATCCGTCACGGTGGCCATTCTTCTTTGTGTGTTGATTCTCTGGCTATTGTATCCACGCGTCGCGATGGGTGTAATCGATTCGAAGCCTCGAGATACAGGAACCGCGGGCCAAAACGGCGGCCATGGTATTTTAAACAGCCAGGAGGAAAGACAACAATATCAAAACATTTACCGATTTCTAAATAGGACAGATGTCGACCGTGACGGTATGGAAAAATTACACCACGTATGAGCTCCCCGCTAACTCGTCGCCTTGTAGCCAAGATTGATCGTGTTCGTTTCTTCAAAGATAAAGAGCCCGTTTTTGAACGAGAAATCCACGAGCAGCGGAGCTCAAGTGCTTCTTGCCTTGCGAGGGGCGCTCATGCACGACAGGAAGCTGAGGTTATCATCATTGAGGAGATTGACCCGGAGTGTCTGAGAGAATTCCTCGCGACGCGCATTCAGAATTATACCCAGCGCCACTCATTTCTTACTTTCGTGGATGAGTATCTACATGATCACCCGAGCTTCAACTTCACAGATGTGGAATATCGAATTCGTGCTACCCCGTCTGTGCAGAACAAGCAGCAGCACGAATTGCTCATTCATATACAGCTTCGTGAATTGGACCGACCTTTCAAGATGAGTTATTTTGAGATTCAGAACTCCGCGCGGGAATCTCGGGCTCTCAGGGGCTCTTACGCATATGGGCCACTGAATCCAGTGCAGCGTCCACCGCTGACACCCGATGATGCCGACTTTCCACCGCTTGCCATCACAAGAGCCAGTGTGGCTATTTGGTTTGATGGCGATCCCTGGGATACTTGTGCGTCCTTGCTTCTCTACTCCTACCTATTCAGTCGAAGAGCGAGACTGACCTTTTATCTCTCCATGGTGTAGGTGTGATACTTGTCGATAAACGTGTGCCTTTTGTTGGGCTCCCTGGACAAGAGCGTCCATCGCGTTATGTTGTTGGCGCTCACGTGTACTCGGGGTATACTTCCATGCGGTCTCTCATTATGGACTGCTTTCAAAACAATACCAATCTACGAAATGCCGGGATGCCAGCTCCGTTCACAGTCACACAGGATCTGCGCAGCATTATAGGCTACGATTGGCTCAGGATCATCGGATTCGTTACTCGAGACCTTTACTCGATACACTGGGCACTACAAGGAGGGGACCGCATGTCGGATGAGAACAACCAGGAGTTGTATCGAACAGCCTTGCAACACTTGTTCTCAATAGACAGACGGATTGCGTGGTACTGCGGACTTATTCAGGAACAGCTAGACTCGTGCCGTTCCAAAGGAAAGCCATTGTGGAATGGGAAGAGCTTGGGTCTGGAGCAAGTTCGGGTCGCAGACATGGTTTCCCAAGAGCTAGTAATGGACTTTGAGGATATCAAGACTCAGATCACGCAGACTACCGAGAGGTTGGACAAGAGTATTAGCTATGTCAATGGCCAGGTCAATGTCAAAGAGGTCGAGAGAGCCAACGCGCAGAGCAAGATAGTGCTGGCGCTCGCAGTAGTGGGAGGCTTCTTCCTTCCAATAAGTACTATTGCGGCAATTTTCAGCATGGCAGATGACTGGGCTCCAGGAAAAGATGGGTTTGGTCAGTTTTGGGCTATTTGCATTCCCATCTCTGCGTTAGTAATGGTGATACTGGTCATGATAATTCGCTGGTCGACCATACTACGATGGATGGGGAGGTTAAGGAGAGCCAGTCGGATGTGTATGGAAGGGGCTGTTTAAGTACTTCTATTGGGAGTTCCTAGAGATATAAAAGAGTTATTAGATGGATCTTTCTTTTAGAGTCGCGTCATGTCATTGACCACTTCTCACATTACTCGGTTATATTACGCTCGTGTAAACATCAATGTGATATCTCCGAGAACGCTGCTTAGGTGGTTACTGATGATAACATGAATTTAAATCCTCGCTTATGTATAAGTAAACAAGAATAAGCTAGCCTGTATATCTCTAGGTGGTACTTAAATATTTTGCGCAGTATGCATAGCTTCATTCCATCCCTGAGGGCATCCTGCACTCGTATCTGTTCTCATTGGAGATTCACTCGCCCAGCTCTCTGGCACTGGCCGGTCGCTTGACTGTACCATATCAAACAAAGAATGCTGGAATTGGGGCAGGCCGTCAGTACTCGGAAAGTACATCCAGCCAGGACCCTGTGCCATCCACGACATGTCGGCCATCGAGCCATCTGTTATCAAGAGGTCAGAGCGCGTGCCGCCGTTGATACCCATGCCTAGCGTATTCTGTATAATTTCAGCCAGTTAGTGCATGAAAAGACCCTTTTACCGAGTTCTAGTATGATTGTGAACCCGAGACATACCTGTGAATCCATTCCTGTCAACAGCGTCTCAAAGTCCGGGTTATGAAAGCCTTGTAGGGAGACATGGACCTCTTCTGGAGGCATCCATCCAAGCCGCCTTAATTGGGCGGCGACGTCGGGATCTTTTCGAAGAATATGTTGTATGTCGACTGATTGAATGCTCGTAGGCGAGTTTCCTATTCCCTCTGAAGGCATTCTCGTCCTTTGACCATGCGTTGCTGACTTTGCTGACTTCGCCTGCCAATCTTCTAGCAGACGCTGGAGTGCGTCGCCGCTCAATGCGGCACACTTCCAGGTTTGGCCCATTCCATAGAGGGCAGTAATGCATTTTGACACTGCCTCGAGCTTGGACTCGGGATTTTTGCTACGAGCTACACTGCGTAGATGGATGGTTCCGGCAGTGAAGATGAATTGGGTGCTGGAGATTGGGACACAGCTGAGGCCAAATCGCTCATCAAATAGCTCTGCTATCTGGAGGATTTTGAGTCTGTTATTTCTGAAAGTTAGTCCATTTCATATTTTTCATTAGCAAAGAAAGAACAGAAAGACCACTGACGCTGCTTGGTTACATCTATCAGTTGCAGAATACATTGTTGAATAACTAGATGTTGATCTCAGCGGGTGTGTAGATGTTGGGCTATCACAATAGTCGGGCCGGTTCAACAAAATGACTGCAAAGTAGTACATCATGTTTACAGTCATTACATGCGGCAGCAGTGATACATCTGAGACGTCACCGCGAAGCATGCTGGGAGTCATGCGGAGCGGTTCTGGCAGCTCTGCGTACCACTTTTCAAGAAGGACACTAGTAGTGAAAGCTGTTGGTTAATCAAGGCAGACCAAGCCATCAAAGAGAGACATGGAGTCCTGGGTTTACCTGATTTCCTTCTTCGCACATTGCAATTCGTCAAGACGTACATTTCGTTGGCTGGAGTACCTAAAGAAGCAAGTAATGTCAGCGTGTCCAACCATTTACTAGCGATGAGAAGCAGAACCATGAGCTTACACGTTCTCCAAGAGAAGTTCAATAACCCTAGCAAGTTTACTTGTCCAGACTGTGGTCGACGACTGCCATGAAGGCACTATGACATCTTGGCCTTCCCTATTGTGTCCGATCCAGCCGACAGCATCTTCCTCTTCGCTCACGTCTGGAAACGGCATTCGATAATGGCGGAGACTTGGGGCTGGAGCTCTCCCAACATACGTCGACCAAAGCTTATCCTGGATATACGCGCAATGCCAGACTCGATCGCGCGAGCGCTTCATTTCCGCCGCAATGAGACCTTTCTCTACCCAGGAAGATGAGTCGATACCTAACCCAACTGCTCCATCATTAGCAATGCTCGCCTAGAGAAATCGTTGGTTGAAATCATTGTTCGCTGTTGGTAACTCACGGATGCGACTTAGTCGTAGGCCGGTGCCAGAATAGATGTATCCCAAACTCTGCCGCGCATGGCCGGCATGGTGAGATCCAAGTAGCATGAGACCGATTACGGCGCTCAGGCGGGCGGCCTCAACCTCTTCTTGGAAGAATTGGGCTACCGCTTGAGCCAAGCTGTCCGAGATTGCTATTTTCTCGGCATAGCTTAGCTTCTCCAAGTACATGAATCCAATAGCAAGCATTGAGAGATGCAACATGGGGCTATAGAATGCTGTTCGAGTATGCCGGTTTGCGATTGTTCCTTGTCTGCCACCGTCACGATCCATGTCTTGCCGGAAGCGTGCTTCATCCACCCACATGCACCACGGGTTGAAGAACGCGAAGAACAGTCGAAGTGCTTCTCCGCAAGAGAATTCGTCAAGAGTGCCAAGTGCAAAGGAGTATTGGGTACTAGTAGATGCACAGTAGGGGCCTAAGCTGGACTTCTCCATGCATGTAGGTGAGGCTGGGGCGGCTGGCAGGTGCTTGAACATGGATGTCGGCCCGTATTCTCGGATCTCACCCGTCTCGTTGTCAATCTATTACGATAAAAATTATCCCATTAGCTGCCTTGGCTTGTAAGTAACTTGGTTATGCCTAAATCTCACATAGGTAACTTACTTGGAGGCGTTCGGCAGGCTCGCAAGAAGACTGCCGGTGAATCGTATCGCTCGCGTCCGAGGGTAACGGCGACTGGTCTTCCTCAACTTGTAAGCTCGAGACATCTGATGAGCCTGCGACGACATGTGCATCATCGGCACATCGTTCCCGGTCCTTTTCTGCCAGTTTCTTTTCTAACCAAGCTAGACGGTCTTCAAGAGCGGCGACATAGGCTTTGGACACTGGCCGTCTCTTGTCCTGATTACTATAGCTACATTCTTCATTATATGTGGCACAAGGAGCTATTTGGTGTGTCAGTTTCTGATTAGTTGTCCAGGCATAACATTGTAAAGCCTTATATGAGGTGCAGTAGATAGCGGAGGTTGGCAGTGTTGAGGAAAGGAATAGTGGTATCTATGGATTCGACGTCGTCGGCCCGGATATCGTGCTTGTTTACGAGCTCTAGTACGGCATTGAGGGTTCGATGCGTGCTGCCGCAGGTTGGGTATGGCTTGTAAGTGATCCCTGGGTCCTGGATAGCAAGAGGCTCGCCGACGGCGAGGTCGGGCATTGTGTATTCGCTCCCATCGCCGTCAACGTTGGAGTACACCTTGGACCACCCCCAGGGACCAGTCAAGACCTCGGAACAGCCGACGATGCCAGCAGCGGCCATAGTAGCAGCCATAACAGCATCTCGTGCTGCCGCTCCTGGCTGCATGCTTTTAATATCGTAGCCAATCTGGATGCGGCCCCCGCTAGAGGCGCTGAAGGCCATGCTGATGGCGTTGGTGATGCCAGCAGCGTCGAGCTTCATGAGCCTCGCGCAAGCAACGGCAGAGGATATGACTCCCACGGTAGCAGTGCCATGCCATCCGCAGTCGTGATGCTTGGGGGCAGCACGCCCCAGGCAAGCTGCGATCTCAATACCGACGACGTATGCGTCCAGTACGTCGTCGCCGGAGCTGCCCCTCTCCTCGGCTACAGCAAGGATGGCTGGAACAATGGTGCAAGACGGATGGCCGGTCAGTGGCCGGAAGGAATCGTCAAAGTCGAGGATGTGGGCAGCAGTGCCATTCGCATATGCCGCAGCCTGGGCTGGCACTTTCTGCGTCTGGTCGACGATGGTGCATAGCCCCTGGCCGCTCGTTGATGTGGCGACCTTGGCGACGGTTTTGGGGGCGCGTTCGATGGCACCACCGATGAGGTAGCCCATCAAGTCTTTGATGCCCCTCTGAGCTTCGACTCTAGCAGCGAGAGTACGCTCTCGGGGAACGGCGGCAGCCCAGTGGGCAAGCCGGGATGTTGGGCCACGTTGACTAGATGTGTTGTCCATCGTGGATACAGACTCCAACGTGTGTATGTTACGTCCAAGGAGAGAAATTTGGCCAAGAAATAACAAGCACTGATAAGTTTGAAGACCACTAGTTAGCAACAGGCCCCGGTCACATGAAACCTAAACCATGCAAAGGACGTGATAAGGTCGGCAGCTGGCCAACGGATCTTGCCCGCCATGGCCACAGTTCCGGACTTATCGCATGTACATTGTGGAATAGCCTCGGCCGCGTGATACCAGACCTAAGAACGTCAGTCGGACCCGGTCCGGCCATGGCGTCGGCGCAACGGCCGCCAACGTGACATACTCCGCATTTTTAGGGGTAGAGTCCAGGTTCTGCGGAACACGACCGCCAGAGACAAATGTCCTCCCCACTCAAGGCTCCCAGGAACTTACTGGTGCATCTCAAAATCAAGTCTGCCGGAGTTTCATGGATAAGGCTGGCACGCAGATAGCCTTCGAGGATGGCATTCCATCCCTCAGACACTTTTCTACCTAGAAGTTGAAATGATTGAGGCATATTGGCTTTCTTACTCTTACTCTAACTCATTCGAAAATGTGGCTGTTATTTTTGGACTACAGCTCAAAAATAGAATACTGAAGCCCAAAAACTAAACCACATTCGTGAGATAGATGATTGCCAGACTCAATTCTTACCCTTTCCTCAGCCTGGATAGCTATCCGTTGTCCCTTGCCAATGGCTCACTGGTCAGATTGATAGCACGCGATTCTTTCCCGTGGTGAAATCCCAGAACTCAAAGTCCTTTCAAACGAACACAACATGCAGGCATGTCGTGTATCTTGAGATACTCCCATAACCAAAGGTCCCTCCTAACATAATTGACAATCTGACTTCCCCTACCCGCAGTATATAGTAAGAAAGTTCTCTTCTACGTGGTAATAGTCTTAAAACTAACTAGAGCATCTATATATGTATCGGACCTGTCAATATAGGCTTTGATGTAGTTATGTGCAAAAATTCTTTTTTCAAGCAGCTGAGCGGTTGGCCCATGCTGCACTGGAATATCGTTCAATTGCAGCGGGATTTGGTGACCACCTAACATATAGCTTTTTCCTAACTTCTCTGGATTATTGATCATTATTGTAGATGATAACATATTGTTCTCATTTTCATCCAACTAACGTTGTGCCGGGATATAGGGTAGTGCGACAACACTTCCCACCAACACGCCAGGTCTCATCCCAGTTTATCTCCACTGCAAGAAGCCGTGTGCCAGCAATATTGAGAAGACTTCGCGTTGAAAGCCACCATTTACATGACCTCGTTGAGGGAATTCTATTCTGTTGATATGTCTTCTTAAAATTAGATATCTTAACAAAAAAATCAAGTTACTAATTTCTTTACCACTTATGAGTTGAATTACCTACTTCATGTTAACCCTTTTTAGCAGCTATTTTGGTATTGAACCTTAGATACGGCCGGGCACAGTGCTTTTAGCCGGGTACAAGGCTGAAGTTTATTGTGTTGTAATGCCTGGGCATGGTATCAAGTTATTAAATTACTGGTGTTTGGGAATTTCCCCTTTTTTTTTACAGCAGCTGTATAGCTCCCTCACTTATCCGGCGGGTATATAAGCAATGCAAATTAGCCCCCCTCTAGAGAGGGGGTAATATAGACTATATCTTTAATACCTATATCTAAACCTTATAACTTTAATATATAATATCTTAATAATAATACTATATTTTAAATTAAAATTTATTTTATATTATTATTAGATCTTAATTTAATTATAATTAAAATTTTAGAAGAATTATATATATATATAATAAATATAGTATAGATTTATATATCTAGATCTAATAAAATATATTAAATATATAGTTAGCCTATCTATATATTTATAATTATAGATTTAGCTCTTATTTATAATATAAAGATCTCTTTTCTAAAGAAGTATATTAGGATAATAAGAGAAGATAAAGAGCTTCTTTCTAAGGCTACTAAGAGCTTATAAGGAGATATACTATATCTTATAAAGAAAGAGGAAGCTATTATTATTATTTATATTTAGAAGGTTAAAAATATAGCTTTCTAATTAACTAATACTTATATTATTAATAAAGTTAACTTCTTATAGTATTTATATAATAAAGAGCTTATATTTTATAAGTAGCTTTTAAGGTTTAAAACCTAGTATTCTAAGTTAGCTCTTTATATTAGTTATTTTAAAGAAATAATCTAGATAGATATTAAACTTAATCCTAATAAACTTAAAGCCTAGTATATAGAATATAAAAGAGTTATTAAAACTCTTTAAATTAAGCTTAATAACCTATAGAATTTTAATAAGATTTCTTTATAAATAAACTAAATCTATAGTAAGATAAAAATAACCTCTATTTATAAAAAGAAAAGTATTTATTAGATTATTTTCTAACTAGGTAATAAGAAGAGTTTAATATTAATTAATATAATTAGTATAGTTAGAAAATATATTCCTTTTTTTTTTATTCTAAAGGTAAAAGTATTACTTAAGGAATATATATTTATTAATATTAATAATAATATAGTTATAATATATATAAATATAGATTATAATAATATATAATAAGCTCTTTAGTAGTTAAAGTATTTTAATAAGAACTCTTTTAAAGTAAATAATAGCTTTAAGGATTATATAATTAAGAGCTAGTTTAGTTATAGAGCTAATTTTAACTATAAGGATTAGGAAGAATAGATTAGTAAGTAGTTCTTTTATTATTATATAATACTATAAGTTATAAAGCTCTTCCTAATAAATAGATTCTTAGTCTATAAAAACCCTAAATTCCTCTAGTATTATAATATATTTAATATTATACCCTTTAAGCTATCTTTTTATATAAACTATCTTTTATAACCTCTTAATATAGATATTTTTTAATATATAAAGTAGTTATAATAGATAAGTCTATTATTTTATAGTTATTACTATATATAAGGGGGATATTCTGAGATCAGGCTATATATAACTAGATCTATATAACTTATTTTTACTTATTTCTAGTCTATATCTAACCTTTAACTCTATTTTTTACTTTCTATCTATATAAATTATAATAAGATAATAGCTTTATTAAAAAGTTAAAGAAGCCTTTATTAAGTATATAACTTAGCTATAAGCTCTAAGAGGGGATACTTATTAATTATAATTAACTATAAGACTTTCAGTAAGTAAGTATATAAGTAAGTAAATAAGCTTATTATTACTAATTACTAACTAACTATAGCTAATTAATTATAGCTAAATAACTATTTAACCTTACCTTATAATAATAATAATAGTCTTTTCTAATATAATTATTTTAACTAGCTAAGGCTTACTAGTAGTATAGAATAAGGTCCTTATATATATAATAAAGATAATTAATAATAATCTATAGGTTATATATAATAAATATATCTAATATTAGAGTTTATACTTAGTAATAGAACTCCTAGTAGTATTAAAACTACTTATAGGTATATAAGCTTAGTAGTTATAGCTATTAGACTTAATACTCTACTATAAAGCCTATAAAGAGTTATTAGTACTTTATACCTGGTATAGAGTATTAGTAGATAATAAAGATAGGGTTAATAAGCTATATCTTAATAACTAAGTACTTAATAACTATAATAACTAGAGATATACTCTCTAGTTCTAATATATTATATATTATATAGAACTTATATAAATAGAGGCTACTATAGTTTAAACTATTAGTTTAATATTAATTTTAATTATATTTAAATAGAATAAGATTAAATTAATTAGAATTAAGTTAAATATTAGATAGTAGAAGTTTATTAGAGGGAGAAGTTAAATTAAAAAAAGTTAATCTATTAGTATTAGTTTTATAATATATTTATATATAATTACTAGAGTTTTTAAATAAAAATATAATAGCTAAAAGTTACTATATACTAATTAAATTATATAATATTTTTCTATACTGTAATAGATAAGTCTATAGAAATAGGTTTATAGTAAATAGCTATAAGTTATTTATTTTAACTTTCTATACTTTTAGAATAAAATATTTAAGGATTTCTTTTAAATTAGATATATATATATAAACTTTAAAAATAGTAGATTATAGCCTATTAATCTAAATAAGATATTATTAATAATTAGAATAGATTATAAAAAATAAATTATATTAATATAGCTTAATAAGTTATATAAGAATANTATAACTCTATAGTCTACTAAGTAAAAACTTATAAATATCTTAATAATTAATATTAGTAAGGATTTATAATAAGCTATAAAAAATATATTAATTACTTTAGATTATTCTATTATTTTATAAGATATATAGTTTAAAATATTAAAGTTAGTATATAAATAGTTAGTTTAGTAGGCTATATATATAAAGACTAAATAGTATATTATAGATATAAAAGATAGTACTTTTATAAGAAATAAACTTTTTATAAAAATTAAAATCTAAAAGTAAAAGGAGTTTAATAAACTATTAAATAAGTAAACTAGGGTTTATAAATAAGAGATAGTAAAATTAAAAGTTAAAGAGATTACTTTATAAGTATTATAATCTTATTCTTATAGCTAGATTATAATAAAAACTAAGATAAAGATATAGACTAGAGCTAATAAATATATAGTCTTTCTAAACTTATAAACCTAAGAGTAATATTCTAATCTTTAAAAAGCTTAGAACTAAATAGATAATTCTTAAAAGAAATAGTTATTATATATAAGATCTCTTAATATATTAGAGTTATTTTCTAACTATTTAGATTAAAAAGCTATTTAAAAAGCTTAGAAAGAAACTAAAGCTTTTATTAAAACTCTTTCTTAACTAGTTTAGTATTCTTTTAACTCTTCTAATATAAACTATATAACTATTATAATAAATAGCTCTATTAGATTACCTAGTAATAATAATAGTATTAATATTATTATATATTATCTATCTAATTTAATCTAGGTAAGAGATATATTAATCCTTATAAGAAGATCTATAGATTTATATAGAAATAAAGTTATATTTATATCTTAAGTATAATTAAATAAATTATATTATCTATCTATAAATTACTTATTATCTAAACTAGAGATTATAATTAGAGATATACTAATTTAGGTATTTAAGTTATAGATCTATAGATAATAAATTAATTATAATACTACTAATTTAGCTCTAAAAATTCTAAAATTAAATATATAATTTAATTAGCTATTAATAAATAATATCTTAAATTATTATATAAAAATCTATTAAATTAATAAATTAAGAGTATTTTATAGTTATAAGGTTTAGATATAGGTATTAAAGATACAGTCTATATTACCCCCTCTCTAGAGGGGGGCTAATTTGTATTACTTACATACCCGCCGGATACTAACCCTTTTTAGCTTACTAGATAAAGAAGAGAGCTAATTTAGCACTGCGAAGTAGTATTCAGAGTAAAACAATAACATCATTGCTAATGATAGACATGTGCTAGGCTATACGTGATCTATGACCTGTGATGCAGCAGATGTTAGCGCTGGCATGGTTCTTCAACAGGAATGTGGACGCGAGGGCGCTCGGACATGACTTCCGCTGCCGAATTTAGATGCGCTAAGTTGGTTGGAGACAAGAAGAGCGATTGGCCCAGAGCTTGCAATAGGTCCTGATACTCTCACCCTTTGAACACTCACACGAACCATGACCTTGAGAATGCTCTCCGAGTACATGGAAGTGATAGGTGGCTTCTGGGCCATAAGACGACGAATCACTACATGAAGGATGCTGAGCAGTGGTATTCGATGGCTCAAGAAAAAGACAAGAAGGTTCAATCATCCTTGTTCAACCTACCATGACTAAAAGTAGAGTTTTACTCATTGGAGCAGGCGGTATCGGCACCGTTTGCGCTTACGCGTTGGAGAAGGGAGGGTTGGTTGAAGTGACTGTGGTGATGCGGTCGATGTACAACCGGGCCGTTGAGCAGGGCATAGACATCGACTCGGTTGACTTCGGCCGGAACATTAAGTCCTGGCGGCCTACTGCGAGTATGTTGACGAATATTGCCAGAAGGAAGAGAGACTGACCTATTCCCCCTCCGTGGTAGTCCTACAGGCTGTCCCCAACGTCGCCGCCGGGGAGTCAGAGCCTTTCGAGTTCATCGTTGTCACAACCAAGAACCTTCCTGACGCACCTCCAACCGTGGCCGATATCATCGCGCCGGCTGTTGTGCCAGGCAAGACGGCTATTGTCCTTGGACAAAACGGGCTCAACATTGACAAGCCATTGGCCGATCGGTTCCCCGGAAACCCGCTTATCAGCAGCGTCATATTCACTGGTGCGGCCGTGATGCCCTCCGGCACAGTCGTCCACAGCGACCCGGACGTCCAGCGCATTGGGCCCTTTGCCAAGTCCGGGCCTGGAGGCGAGGACGCTGCGCGGCGCTTCGTCGCGCTGTACAACCCACGGGGAGAGCTTGATGTCACTCTGAGCCTCGACACCGACTACATTCGTTGGCGCAAGCTTGCTTACAACGCTTCCTTCAACGCCGTCGCTGCCGTGCTGCAGATGGATACGTCACGCATGCGGATGCTCGATCATGTGGCTGCTGGCCTCATTATTCCCGCCATCAACGAAATCAAGGCTGCTGCCATGGCCGCCGGCGTCGCTTTGCAAGATGACCTCGTTCACGCCGTCATGTTCCAAGACTCCGCTCTGGGCTTCTTTAGACCTAGCATGTTGCAGGACTACGAGAAGGGTAACCTGATGGAGATCGAGACCATTGTCGGCGAGCCTCTACGCAAAGGCCGCAGGCTTGGTGTCCCTATGCCCACACTGGAAGTTATCTACAACATGCTGCAGGGCCTGCAGTCAAAGGTCAAAGAGAACAAGGGTCTGTGGAAGGCCGATTACGCCCCGGATAACTCGTATAGGGATGCCTGAGGTCGCAGGTGTCTGGGGGACATTGTACTACCGCGATATTGAATCATATCTTTCCGGTAATGAGCTGCTATGCCGACAACGCGTTTGCCCTTCAATTTTCGGGCTGGCAATCGAGTTCCTAAATACAGCTGAAGGAAATTATAATAGTACGTTTTTATTCACAACGTTCAGTTGTCCGGGCCGTGGTAGCTTCATCGTTGTTAAACTTTATTCTCTTTCTCTTCTGTATGATAGTACATCTCTTAATACTGATAATAACTTTAGGTTCAAAAAAAATCCGGCTGACAATAAGTGCTTGATTGGCTTAATGATGTGTATGTATTCAATGTTGTGTGTGTGTCTTGTGGCTGTTATGCCACATCCCCTTCTCGGCTGACTCCTTATGTATTAAGTCGATCATCTCTCCCTTTCTTATTCAAAACTCTGGAGGTGTCTTAACTAGGGTGTATTGATAAAGTAAACAGTAAAAGTTTACGGGCTGTGGATCAATGTCTGTATTACATCTATATCACATAAAGGGTTGAATCGATGGTTCACTATTGCGAAGAAGCTGCAACGACTTTCTGCTTTTTAGGCCGTATTGGATGTTCCCAAAGTCTCCGTTTGGCCCCGAAGTCCCCATCAAAATTGCGGCAACTTAATGTCCCTATGTTTCTATGACAGCCGCTCCTCTTCTATAGACGGGACCGAGAACCCCCAAGGGCAGCGACCACTTGGGCCGCACCCTCGCGCCCAGACGTCAGGGCGCCCTCCATGTAGCCCTTCCAGTGGTGAGAGTATTCGGTTCCAACAAAGTGGATGTTTCCAACAGGCTTGCCGTGGATGTCCCAGTGCTTGACATAGTGGCCAATGGCGGGGATGGGTGACAAAGCGCCTTGGCTGTAGGGCTCGTGCTTCCAGATCTGGTCAAAGAACTCGATTGGACGCCAGAGCTCCGGATCTTTGCCAACGTTGTAGACACTGGCGAGCTGCTCGAGAATGATGCGGCGGCGGGTATGGGGGTCCTTCTTAGCCCACTCGGCGCCCACGCTGCCGTTTACAAACGCCGTGAGGCCGTATAGACCTTTCTCAGGAACGCTTGAGTCCCGGACGATGCTTATGGGGCCTGAGAAGCTGAAGAAAAATCCGTTGAATCCCAAGTCCCTCCACCAAGGCTTATCATAGCAAATAACTGCCTTGCTATAGTGGCCCAGTTTGGCGTTACTGGATCGCTCCTGTAGAGCTGTTGGCAAGGCTGGGGTCCAGTGCAGGTCTTTGAAGAGGGCACTGGGAATGGAGACAATGGCCTTCTTGGCAACAAAGGTCTTGCCTTCGGTCGTGGTGATGGTAATTTTGTCGTTCTCATCGGTGATGGAGTGTACCGGCTGGCCCAGATAGATATACTGGTAACCGATAAGGTCGGCAATTCCAAAGGCAATGGGTTGTGTGCCTATCCAAAGGTATTAGACTGTCTTTTCTTTTGGACCATTGCAGCTACCGCAAATACACACGCATGTGTGATGGATCTACTGACCTTCGGCAAGACGCATATAGTTGCCACCAGTGTGGTCATCCGCACGGGCGGCTAAAAGACCGTGGTTGCGGCGGCAGTAGTCAATGAAGTGAGCGGCCGACTCCTCAGTAGACTCAAGACCATGCATAGCCCGAACCCAGATGTTAACCATCTTGCAGGTTTTCTCATTGGCACCGAGCTTCCGAACATAGGCATCAAGAGAGAGGAGATCATCCTCGGGCTTTGGGGGCTTTTTTTTCTGCGACTCTGCCTCAATGTGGTCACGGATCATCTCTAGGTTCTTCCTCTCTTCAGAGGCAAACTGGCAATCACTGTTAGCAACGACGAGATAGCCATTGATAGGGATGGAGGGTGGGGGGAGATTCACTTCGGGAACCATGCCAAAGGGAAACTCCAGGCGTTCCGTCTCAGAGACCTGCATGATGGACGTAAGGTCTATAGGCTGCCGTACCGTCTTCATGCCAAACCTACGGACATAGGCAGTGATGAGAGGCTGCATCTCGTCGTTGATCCAGGCAGCACCTAGATCAGCTCGACCGCGGCCTGAGGCCAGAGGAGGACTCCAGACCTTCCCTCCCACGCGGTCTCGAGCCTCAATGACAGCGAAGGAAAGTCCTGCTTCCTTTGCAGACAGGGCAGCCTGGAGGCCGCTCATACCAGCACCAACAATGAGAACGTCGAACATCCTGGCCAGATTACTGAGGGGAGGAAGTCTAGGAAGATGAGGATGCAACGGAGAGTTGCGAGGATAGGGGGAGGGGACTTAACTTTGTGTCCTCTGTTGACGACCACTTCTATATCGCTTCAGCTATTGCACGGCATCGTATGCCTCATACTACACGTCTAGTATCCTTATCTCACCATCTCCGCTTGCTCAAACTTGATCGGGGACGCTGTGGAGCAAACCTCTCGATCAGCAGGTATGGAGAACTACCAGCCGAGGCCCACCCACAACATTGCGGGTTACGATTAGCGAATTATTGCAGTTTTTGCTGGTTTGATTAGAAGTAGATGTTCGGTACTCTAGCCCGCTTTTGGGTCTCCCCAGATATAACCGAGTTCGGGCTTTGGCTAGAGCATGCTACCATGATCACAGCTAATCGTAACTCTCCGATAGCCAAGTGGAAATGCAGAATCTTAGAGCCACAGGAAGGACAGGGCCTTGAGCAACCCATGCTGGCAACCTGATCTAGTTCGTACAGTAAAGTTGTGGGTGATCTGATGTTCCCCCGCACACGACTCTACACACAGCCCCCTCCCCTGTCTGCCGGATGGAATCTCCAGATCTGGAAAAGCCCCACGTGTGGCATACTTATCTTATATAGTTGGCTCGCTCGCTGTTTCCTCTTCCACTTCGAGGTTTAGTTTGATAGGTCATCTGAATCTTGTTCGTCTCCGCTTCTGTCCATACGAGCACTGTCTTGATCAATATACGCATATCGGCTCATCTGGCGTGCTCACACCCCCCTCAGACTTTGATTCCCGTATCATGTCCCCGCCAAGCGGTGGCCACCAGCCGTTGGCCTTGACGAGGCACAAAAAGACTTTCACTGGATGTTGGACTTGCAGAGCCCGGCGAATCCGTTGTGACGAGGGAAAACCTGGTTGCCGCCAGTGTCGCCGGAAAGGTGTCCTCTGTGAAGGCTACGACGTCAGGCTGCAATGGGTCCGTAATAATAGGAGTGGGGATGACTTTCCGTCACTGTTTGCTCCTCGGAGCGGCATTGCTCCAGGTAATTACCAATGCTCCTTGCCACCGAAACCACCTAGTTACTAGGGAGATGGATATTTCATAAATGAAGGCAGCTGACGCCATGGCGCTCCTCATGCCGCGCCCACAATAGATTCCAACCGCGTGATTTTCAAGGCCGGTGCTGTAGATCAAATCCTAGCCATTCTTGACTCGCATGAAGCTGGAACCGCAAAGGATAGCGCCGCTAATGGCAAACACGAGGACTTCTCTCGTTTCCTCGACTGCTTTGGCGTTTTCAGATCGGCCCGTACTCCTACTCCCATCCCTCCGCCTCCTGCTGTTACTGGCGATGGCGGAAGCAGTGGTAATGTCACCGATGACAATAATTATCGTGGTGAGGCTGGTGGTGGAGGAAAATTACCACCAAACAGTAACCTAGGTCGCTCTCGATGTAACACCAACGGACGGCAGAGCAGTGCTCAAAGTTGCATTGATGTGGCCGGTGGCTATAGTCTCTCTCCTGAGTCAGCCACGAGTAGTGGCTTGCATTCTAACGGCGGCCCTTTACAAGAAGGAAACGAGTCTTCGTCGCCATGCTATAGTAGGCTGGACACCTTGCAGAACCCGATCTCGACTTTGGAGACGACACCCCAAGAGGAGGAGGTGTCTTTTGCAGAATTGCTCCAGACAGCAAGGATCATACCTGCCCTCGATATCGGACCAGATAAAAATCATCATCCTTTGGAGCCATCATCTGAAGACGTCGATGCTCTTACTGCGACAGGCCAGCTTATCCTGCATGGTGGCGCGCAAGATGATGAGCATTTCTTATTTGGGGATATTGACTGCAACGAGATGGGCATTGGACCCTCGTTTGTCGCCCCATCGCTGGGAGAAGGCTCACCCCTCTGCCGTTCTGTTTCCTCTCATCTCAAAAGCGACGAAAACTTCCTCTTGGACCACTACTCGAAGAGAGTCCTGTACTTATTCTGTGTAATCGATCATGGCAAGAGTCCATGGAAGTCAATCCATCTCCCAAGAGCTCTGCAAGCCAGGGGCGAGTGCACCGTCCATGGCTCAACCTCGATGATACGCGAGGCACTTGTCAATACGCTACTTGCTATCAGTGCCTTCTTCCTATCAAACGACTGCCAATCCATGTTCCAACTAGACGATGCCTTGGGCTGGTGGAGTGCTGCAGATGCGTACCGCTGTAGGGCGATTAATTTACTACGAAATGCTGTCGAGTGTGACCTTCATTCCAGAGCTCCGCCGAAATACAAGGAATTTCTTGCCACAGCACTGTCCATGGTAACCATGAACGTAGGTAATTTGTATGATATTCATATGTTTCTTGATTTTCTGCTCTTGCCTTTTCACCCGCAGTCGTCGAACAACGTTGTTACAACTTGCCCTTCTGACGTGTCGATAGGCAATATCAGGGGATACCGAAACATGCAAAACGCATTTAGACGGCGCCTACCACCTGATGCAGCAGGCCAAGCAGTGGAAACATCGGTATTCGCCCAAGGCGGCTTCCCTCCACCGTATATACTTTTTCCTGCGAGTGATTTACGAGAGCACGGCTCCCTCGTCAGATCGTAAGTCTCGCCAGTCAGGTTACCAAAGTAGAGCACGAGGAGGAGGCGGAGAGAAACCGATAGACATTTTTTGCCGCGAATTCTTGAGGCCCCAGAGGCTGCAGGGCAGCGAGCCGATGCGAAATGACCTCGACGGGCAGAAAGCTTGCTTCGAGAGGGTCTATGGCATCCCCGACAACCTGCTCCTCTTGCTTGCAGATGTTATAGATCTCCTAGATAAGATTAATGAACTGAACGATGGAACAACGGATGGAGCTGCTTCAAGCAGGGTTTCGGACTTACTTGAGATGGAATGCGAGATATTGGAAAAGGCCGTAATGGATTGGCCAGTCAACGTGGGTCTTGATCAGCAAGTTGCCGATACGGCCTCTTTACAAGCCAAATTTGTCCATCACCACACCATTGCCTTTTATAACGCTCTAATCATATATTTTGGGCGAAATGTCCGGCAAGTTGGGCATCGCTACCTATCGCCATACGTTGAAGCAGTGCTCAACAGCATGGAGGCTATTGAAGCCCTCAAGGTTGGGATGCCAGTTGTGGCGGCGCCTACGTTGTGGCCGGCCTTTATTGCTGCCACCGAGGCCTTTGAACCGGGGTTGCAGGAGCGATTTCGTCACTGGTACCAACACGCAGAGATATATCGGTTTGAATCTCTCCGGATGGGCCTCAAGGTCCTCGAGGAGGTGTGGGAAGAGGGATCTTTATTCCGCCAGCAAAAGGCCTGCCGCTGGCGAGAGATTGTGGAGAGACGAGGCATATGTCTGATATTGAGTTAAACAAACACCAATGAGCCGAAATGTATGTGTAGAAGATCGTGCCGAGTTAGCTACTCATGCAGGTTTGTTGAACAAAGCCGTGTTTAGTAGCCACTGACAATACGGAGAGGGCTACTTGTCTAGTCTCCTGATATTTGACTTGACAAAGCTAATAGCACGAGATATTTTCCCAGTCTAGTGACTAAAGTTTTAGGAGGTGGGCATGGCCTTCATTTCATAACAAGCCACTAATAGACACCTTAGGCTGTGAACAGGACTATAAATTGGACCTACAACTCGACCTGATCTCACCCAGTCCGTGACTATCTTACTCAATAAGTGCCTAGTCTAGATACTTGTTGACTTGGTCATACGGTGTCTCCTGGTGGAGGTAGTTGGGCCATCGTTGGAACGCCTCCCATGCAGTGTGCTTAAGCAAAAATATCTGATCCTTAACCCAGGCCTCGATGGCCTCTTGGTCCGGTGCAACGCCATTGCGTCTGTCCTTCTCCAGGCGCTCCAGAGCCGTACTGCAGCGCTCTGTCATGCGGCGGAGCTTGTGCTGCAGGAACAAGTTCCTGATGAGGCCATGATCATCAACGCTGAAGTGGGCGCTCTTGAGCGATGTGGCGGTATCGTCGGCGTCAGGGCTGCGGAAGTAGTAGCTGTTGACCAGACTGAGCCGCTCGGCTGTGTTGGTAGCCCGCAGGGCCGCATGCTCGAGATATCCACCGGCCATCATGACGGCGCCGCCCATACTGGCACCCCGTACAGCGATGGACTTGCCGTTGCCTGTGCGTACCGCCGTCTCGCCTCCTTCCATGGTGGTCGTGTCGCTGAGCATCATGACCATTACTACGGGGCACATGTCTTTGTGCCACGAGTCAATGTGCTGGGCGTCGTACTCGGAGGCGGCGAGTTTCTCGCCTGGTGGGAGCGGTTTCGACGGCTCCTCCGTCAGCTTATAGACCCCTGAGCGACCCTCAGCGCCGAGCTGCACATTGATGTAGCCCATGTCGTTGATGCCCGTCTCTAACGCCAGGTCTGCGCCGAAAGCGTGGTTAATCGCACCCTGTGTAGCCGGGTGCGACATGGCAGTCTTCATAAATATAGCATCCTGGGTGAGTTCTTGGTCAGACATCATGTTCGAAATGACTCATCTTCCTCTTCCGATGGGTGGGAAACTTACCTGCTCGTTTTGGGAGAAGCCGGTGATGATACAGGGCGATCGTTCCCAGGAGCGCATGTATTTGTCCAAGAATGATTTGCGAAATATCTCACGGCGGATCATCCGCACACCCTCCTCGGAGAAGATCTGGAAGGGGGCTGTGTAGCAAACGTCAGGCAGGCCCTTGGGCACAGGCAGGCCCAATTCTGTGAAGGTCCAGCGTCTGCTTGGGGGCTGGTAGTCGAGGTGGATGAGGGGGTCGAACGGAGGCACCTCAAGCTCGGCAGGGAGCTTTTCGACAATGGGAATGGCGGCCGGCTGTGGGATACCGCCAAAGATAGCAGAGGGCGTTTCTTGAAGCATGCTTGCAATTTGTCTGATGGGAATAGTGAAGATGATATGAGCTCTAGAGGCTTCTAGTGCCCAAAAGTTGAGAACTATATAAGATTCCTCGTACAACAACATGCCATTATTCGGTACTGAATGCCTACTTCAGACGCGGCCTCGCTGTATGCTTTGCCGGGAGCATGGGCAGCTTGCAACCTCTCTCCAGATGGTAGCACTAGCTGAATCGCGCTCGCTGCTAGGCTACATGAGGTAAACTTTGTCGAACAGGTCGACCTGCGGGCGTTACCATAGGGTTACGCATGGCTCAAGTTGTTGATAAGATATCGACCATGGTTATCTAGATGGATCTAGATAGGATATCCGGGGTGAAACCTGTTCTTGGCCTGGGTCGGGGAGGGGAACTGAGCAAGACCCCATCGTATGTACCAAGGGTTACGAATGGCAAGCTTGACCAGATGTGGTGGGTGCAGATCTAATCATAGAGCAGGGTGGCACATGACTCGGCTCAGGGCCAGAGCTCGCTCTCAACTGCCTTATTCTTCACGGTTCCTGCCCTGCCTCGGCAGTTTACTTGGGGTCCGACTAATGGGAGAACATAATTTCTGATTCATAATACCCCACGATCTTGGCCTTGGCCAAGGGCAGCAGCCTACATTCTCTTCTCGGCTTCGCAACCGAGATATGCACATGGTGGGAAGTCACCTTCAATACGAAGGCCTGTCGTGATAAGGTATATCGTTAGTTTCCAACCTGCATTTCCCAATTAAACAACCGTAATTACTCCTCCTTTAGACAGACTTTAGACTATTTTGAGCTTTGTCGTTTGTTCAATATTACTCCCGCTTGGCTTTGCACCAGGCGGACATGAGCCGCCTTTGCGGCGGACCATGCCGCTTAATATGCCCTAGACCCAGACTAACCGGGGGTAATTAATTGCAGCTAAACATGATATAATCCTGGGTAAGCTCTGGCCGCGATGGAGATTAAATGTAGCACAATATAAGTCAGACCATTGGTGTGATTGTTCTAAAAGGAGTTACGTGCATTTGTTTTGCAACAGCATGCAAGGCCTTCGAAAGTAATCTTCTCCTCTAAATATCTATCCGTCATGGCTATCGACAATTCACCTCGTTCTCGTCACCTTGCCGATTATTTACAGCTTTTAGTAGCAAACATTAACCGCGACAGGATACTTCGATTCCTCCAATATCTTGCACGATTTTTTGCCTGGTTCGCGTCTGAAAACAAATATTCAGCAGCCAGCTATGCGAGATGGACGCATCTTATGAAGCAGACTTTCCTCGTTCGAAGGCTCTCGCGTTTAGGGAAGAATATCCAGCATTTTCAAGATGCCGTAAAAATACTTACGGCGAAGAATGGAGACGCTGTACTGTTTTACACTTCATCGGGAAACAAGTTCGGCCTTGCTGGTTTCCTAACTTGTGACGCCGCTCTTGCTCTGGACTACTTGGGGTTCTACAAGTTGAAGAACTTGAAACAAGTACAGTTGGAGGCTACTCATTTCTGGTCGATGGCAATAGTATGTAATATTGCCTCAAGCCTGCGTAGACTTTCCAAATTGCAGTCGCTTCAGCGGACGGATGGCACAAATGGCGAAGAACACAATCGGCAACTTGCAATGTAAGTCCCGGGAATCTCTCAGCCTGTAAGTGCGTTCACTAACTTGATATCGACTTCTAGCGACCGCCAAAAATGCAATTTTAAATTGCTAGCATCTCTGTGTGATCTAGTTATATCTACCGCGCCTCTGGGTATAGTCAAGGCCAGCGATGGTATTATCGGGACTTGCGGCATGGCTAGTACTGTTCTCAATACATTGGCCTAAGATCGCGCTTGATAAAGTTGCGCTTTGAGAATTTCATTGAATATCTATTTTTGTCGATTATTTCCAGAATAAGGAGGGTATTAGATCTGTGGCCGGTTCTTCTCTACTCGAAAACCATGGTGTTCAGAAGAGTACCAATTCCGCTTATTTCTACGGACACGACATCTCCATCTCTTAGCTGATATTGGGGACTGGAAAAGTATCCGATGCCGGGGGGAGATCCTGTCATGATCATGGATCCTGCCGGTAACGTCGTTCCTATTGGCACGGTAACCTAAAGTCAGTCTTCTGACAAACCACAGAACGTGAGAGCCAACACGAGAGGGAGGGAAGGGGGATAATAACAATAGCCTAGTCCTAAGAAAACGCACCTTGCGAGAGAAAGCTCACCAGCGCAGCTGCGTCGTGAATCAAGTCACAGTCGCTGTCCTGGAATACCTTGCCGTTGACCTTGGTAACAATCCGCTTGCCTGCCGTGTCGCCAAACGACTGTGCATTCGCCAGCACTGGCCCCAACGGAGCGAAACCGTCGAATGCTTTGCATCGAGTGAATTGTTGTCCCCCTCTTTTGGGGTCTTGGTATCCACGAGCCGTTAGATCATTACCAACGGTGTAGCCTAAGATGTATCCCGGAGCATCCTCAACGCTAACATTCAGGGCGTCTTTAGATGTGACGATGACTAGTTCTCCCTGTGGGACGATTTAGCATGATCTCGACCACAAGATAGGATGACCGGTCTTCAGTGCGGAATACCTCGAAATCAGGAAAATTGTTTGCTGCTACTTTCGGGATTGTAACTTGGCCTGGTCCACGAAGGGCTCGCCGGGGCTTATACCACATGACGGGGTCAAGTGGTACTGTGAGCTGTAATGGGTTGGCGCAGACGATTAGCTTGCCAGGAAGAAAGATAGAAGAGAGATTTAAGACGCCTTACATTGGCCTCTTCTGCATGCTTGCGGTAATTAAGCCCTATACAGATAATATCTCCATTATATGGCACCGGAGCCAGGACCTGTATACCACATTGAATTAGCTTCAATATGGATTTCTCGGAGGCTTCAGGAGAGAGCGTCTCTAGGCGCCAGGAAGTGTGGATTGAGAGGCATACCTGTTTTATTGTAACGAGATGTCCTTCCTTGTTTTCCAGAAGATCAGGGAACGATGCGAAGCCGGTGACACTTGAACCCGATAGTCGGGCAACATCTAACTCAGACTTGATAGAAGCAAAATATTTTTTACCATCCTTAGCCTCAAAATGGGCAAGATGTGTCCAGGGTGCCATGGTCTTGGGTTTGGGTGGCTCAGGTGGTAGCAAAACAGAGATACAGGTGACAGGTCCTAGTTTGTCCTCAACATTCAATTTAGTAACAATGCAAGACAGCGATAGCCTTTTAAAAATGTACATTCGAGAAGTTTTTCATCCCATCCAAGCTCAACTTACACCAAGATAGGTACTCCGAGTCATCCACTGGCCAGTGCGCATAGGTAGGCCGCGGATGTTGTGCCCCCTCCTCGCCGGAGTAACCCTCCGGAACATTTAACAAGATCCTCCGAAAGACCCGGAGCAACTCGAACACATCGTTCTCCTGTCAAACTCATGTCTTCTCTTGCTAGAAAATGAGTTTTACGATTTCCCGGGAGCTATGCCCGTCAGCGCCTGTGAAAGGTGACATCCCCAAACGGCGGAGTTGAAGACGTGCAGGTCACAAGAGCAAAGCTTGGTCCATCACGATGAATGATGCGATCTCTTAGGTCTACACTGTGCATATTTGGTAACGTTGCTATACGAACAATGTCTTCATGTGCTACCACTAATCCCAAATCAAGCAGCGGTTGGCTTCGTGCCATCTTCAAACATGATGCCCTTCATTTCTGGCCCCCAAACGGACAATGGTCCCGCCATGCTCCTCTTGGTGCCAGTGTCCTCATTTACAAGATCGCCATCCGCGTAATGCTCGATAGTGAACCCACTCGTGTCCCTCCAGTAGTCAAAAATCTGCGACCCCAGTATGTGCCTCCCGACCCCCCATACGCTCGTGTAGCCCTTGCTAGCCAGCCAGTCATGTCCGAGAAGCTGAGTGTCGAAATCCTCGACCTCGTAGGACGTATGATGCATCCGGTCGTGCTCGCCAGGTGGCGCGCGGGACAGAAACAGAGTGTGGTGATCTGAGAAACGCTGGCCAAGGTCGAGATGGAGGAACGCGATCACGTCGAAATCCTCCTTATTCGGCTCGAATTGCACGTCCGAGGGGACGAAGTTGAAGTTTCCCGTGTACCAGGCGAGTTCTTCGTCCCACCGTGCAAGCACGAATCCGTAGTGACCGAGTTTATGCACGAGGGCTGGTCCTGGATGAAAACGCTGAAACTTTCCTGTCATGGAGATTTTTCTGGTTAGATATCATCAACGACACCCATGGAGGAGTATTCGTGATCAAACGTACCCAATCTTCGCTTAGTGACACTTCCATTAAAAGGCCCTATATTCTCCACTTGAGTGGACGGCACAGATTCAGACTCACATTGAACTCGATCTTGAATACCGTACGCAATGTGAATGGGGAACCCAGAGGGTGAGTGGAGAGTAACCATCCGGCCTCCACCAGGGAATTGAGACAAATCTGTGATCTCTGCACCGTCCATAGAAGCCGCCTTGTCAAAATCTCGTTGGGTCTGAGCAAGGAAGACCCCGCCTCCGAAATGCGGCTTGCCAGTCGCCGACTTGCGTGCTACGTAACAATACTGGTCTTTACCATAGCCACGATAGATAGCTAGGCTTTCGTCATGGCTTTGGACCCGTGTGAAACCAAAGTCTTGAGCAAATTTATCAAATTTGTCAAGGTCTGGATGCTCAAACAAGACATGAGAAATCCGTTCAAGCTGGACCTTTGAAGGGTCATTTCGAATATCTGGGAGTCGAGTAGATGTCATGGCTGCTAAGGTGCTTTTGATAAAAGTATGGGAAAGTCTAACATGGCTAAGGGGAATGGGGCTCATAAAAGCGGAAATACCGCTTTAAACCATTTTGTGATATAGGTACCATGCGTTTCTGAGATATCTGGTAATGCAACAGTGTGACATAGTTACGCTCAGTGTAGAATATTGCTGGTAGCTAGTATTATTAGTCCGGGAGGCTATGCCGGATGTTGATCGGCCGCCTAGACACCCGGAACATCCTCATACTCCCATCACAAGTGCATCCGAAATCCCCACAACATCGCAGATCTGCCGGCCCAAGCCAAACTGCGGTAGTCTTGTTTTGTAATACGAGGGAAGGGGGCCAGCAGTTGGTTTGTGTCTGGGGTATCGAGCGGGGGAAAGGCGCGACGGCTAAGTACCCTAGGAGTGTATATATGGTTTATTAAGGAGCTGGCTATGTACGCAGAAGGCCTGGTTGAGTCTCTCCAGAGGCGCACCTTCTAGAACAAACAACCCAGTCTTATATTTTACCCATACATCGATTGTGATGGCATTTTCAACTCAGAACATTGCCTGGTTAGGCCTGTTCGCAGTTTCAGTCTGGGTAATCCAGATACTTTACATATCTCTTCGCCCAGGCCTTCGTGACTTGCCCGGCCCTTGGCTCGCACGATACACTCCGTTATGGCGTCTCATGTTTGTATTCAACGGCAAAGCGCCTGAGGGTTATCGGAAGCTGCACGCAAAGCACGGTCAAATAGTCCGAACGGCCCCTAAGGTAGTAGATATTTCAGATCCTTCTGCTATATCATTGATTTATGGAATTGGCAGCAAGTTTATCAAGGTATGTAACCACCCTTACTCAGGCGCCACATATATATTTAGTAACGGGAAGATTGGCTTATTTATCAAACAGTCTGATTTCTACCGTTCCTTCGATGTCATGTACCAGGAAGAGGCCATGGCGAGCATGTTCTCAACTCGATCGCCCGACGAGCACAAGGCACTCAAGCGGCCAGTTGCACAAAAATTCAGCATGACCTCCATTAAGACCCTCGAATACCTTGTTGACCCATGCAGCGAGATATTCACAGCAACCATGAAGGAAATGCAGGGTCAGGTGGTTGACCTCGGTGTCTGGCTGCAGTGGTACGCTTTCGATGTGATCGGAGCTATCACCTTTTCGAAACGCTTCGGATTCATGGAATACCGCGAGGACGTCAACAGTGTCCTTTCCGGAATTGATCTGGGTCTTCGAATTGGCGGGATCCTCGGACAGGTTCCGATGCTGAATAGATTCTCGTTGGGGAGCAAGACGTTCCACAACATTTTATCTCAACTATCCCTTCCAAACCCAATGGATATTGTCACCAAGGTTGGCATTCAACCCTGCATCTCTTCAGCTGTCTTCTCTTTATCCTACAACCTACAATGAGTTCTAAAAGGTATACAGATGGTGTTGGAAGCTATCGAGTCTTATGACGCACAAACATCCCCGACAGATACTCGATCCGACTTCCTCGCGTATTTCCGGCAACAACAAAAGTCTACCGGGGAAGTCATGCCGGACAAAGAGTTGATGAACCATCTCACTAATAACTTGTAAGAGAATTCATGAGGCGGTCCGGACTACTTTCGGTCACTTATACTAACGGGTGCGTCTGCAGGTTGGCTGGGAGCGACACTACCGGTATCTCCCTTAGAGCTGTATTCTACTATCTCATGCGAAACGCAGATAGCTACAAGAAACTTCAGAAAGAGATAGATGACTTACATGATGCAGGGAAACTTTCGCCAGTAATCAGTTACGCCGAGAGTCTCCAGATGGACTATCTGTAAGTTGAAAAGGCTTTCCAAGACAGACTCGCCGATGTAGAAGTATTGAATAAGTGGAGGAAGATATCACTAACTCTGAATCCGACAAACAGGCAGTTGTGTTTAAAGGAAGCCATGCGAATGCATCCAGGAGTGCAGTATCCTCTCGAGAGAGTAGTACCTCAGGGAGGTGCCACCATCAGCGGGCATTTTCTGCCAGAGGGGACCATAGTCGGAGTAAACGCTGCAGTCATTCACCGGGATCGGGAAATATTTGGCCATGACGCAGATGAATTTCGGCCTGAGCGATGGCTCTGCGATGAGGAGAAGGCCAAAGTTATGGATCGTCATTTATTGACTGTGAGCCACCGTCTATCTTGTGTTGTCTAATGCCAGCAAGCCAGGCTAATCCGAGGGCAGTTCGGAGCGGGAGCGAGAACCTGTATCGGAAAGAACATTTCTATCATGGAAATGGGAAAGCTCGTGCCACAGATACTTCGACAGTTCGACCTGGAGTGGGCGTCGGATGAGCCAGGCTGGAAAGTTGAGACCTTTTGGTTTGCCAAGCAGACCGGTTTGCTCGTACGGTTCCGAGAACGGTCTCAGAATCCGCAAATCAGCTTGGGAAAGGCAACTGTCTAGTTAGTAATCAATTACATGATTGATTCAAAAAGTGTTGCATTAGTCATGCTATATGAGACATTTATAACCCTTTCCAAGTCAATGAGAGAAATATGAGTTTAGAGAAGGTACAATCATTACTATTTTGAAACAAGGTAAGCCTTATCTTGAGAGATTTTCTCTAAGATTGAATATTAGTAACTACAAAGCATGATAATATCATTACCTATATCAAACTACATTTTTAAGACTTCTTTCTCAATCTCAATACATTTTTAGATCATTTCCAAACTATTTATTGAGGAGTAGTTATTTGGACAGAAATTAGCGAGTTTAGGGTAAGCCATTGTACAGGTAAGCTGGTCGTAGCTATTGGCCACTAACTGTAGCTGTGGGCCTTGGCCAGGGTAAAGGCTCTACCCCGCAATCCACGGCAATGGGCGGGAGTTGGCTGGTGGACTCGGCCTATTAATACTTCCCGTTCCGAGACAGCAGATGTCTTGTCCATTCTACCCCGTCTTTTCCTTCTTCGACCCGGCCTCCCCGGAAAGCTATTGAATACACCACATTGCAATAGCTACTCCGTTTGACGTCTACAAAAACTCATACTCTAATTGTAACCCAGATGCAATCTATTCACCGGCCGAGTCCATCCGGTCCGGCCTCGAGTGGCCGAGAGCAGATGGATGGCTCTGGCCGCCTGAAGCTTCGCGTCTGCGACCACTGCAGAGTGTATGTGTGCATAACTGCCAACCCTCCATCTGCTATGTAACTCGGATACTAATTCGACTTCCTCTTTTAGGAAGAAAATTAAATGTCAGTAATTTCGATGTCTCTTAACCCCCCAAGCAAACCTCTGATCTGACCTGTATCACCATTCCAGGCGATATGAAGGCACCGTCTTGTACGGCTTGCTCTCTAAGACATGTAACGTGCAAGTATGGCAAATATAGAAAGAAGCCAGGTGTGTTGCCTCATCTGCCTTAAATACCTACCCTCCGGGGTAATACCAGCTAATGAATGCTCGCCTACCTCACAGGTCCTCCCAAACGACTCGTCAACACTGCGGCCTCAGGGACCAATTCTGCGGCAGCGATGGACTACGACCAACAGCAACCTCTTGATCCCGCATCCGCACTAGGCCTAGACTTGACCGGTAACGATCAATTTCTAGAGGCACTCTTCCACGGCGACGATGCGTCATGGACGGACGATCTGCTAAGCTCTGAAGCGGCGGGAGGAGCTAATGTCGCAATACCCTTCATGAATACGCCCACACCAAGTTTACCTCGCCATATTTCGTCAAAAACCGTCTCGGGCAGGCCTCGCGGACCTGCGGATCTGAGTCTCGAGGCGGAGGAATTCTTGTGAGTACTTGAAATGAGCACATGATAACCATATACACCACGAGAGAGACTGACCGGACTGAGTAGATTGGAACTATACATCCAACATGTACAACCAATCTATCCGCTTCTGCGCTTCTCCGCATCGTCTTCGGGCAGATATGGACTCACTGGAATGTCATACCGTCTTCGCATGTCCATCTATGCTATTGCTTCTCGATATGCATCATCTCAACACCAAGAATGGCTTTTATCTCCTGATTATTTCGCCATGAGGGCAGGGAATTGCGCGAATGCTACCAAACTAAGCATAGACGAGCTCAAGGCGTCCATTTTGCTCTGCCTACACAAAATCGCCTCGGCAGTTACTTGGGATGCCGTGGCCGAGATGGCACGGATCACCCGTATGGCAGAACTTTATTACCGTATCATTGCAGACCAAGACAAGACTTCAAGATGCTCGCGCTGCCGATACGAGGCCGAAGAGCTGCGGACCGTATGGTGGTGTATTTATTCCTTGGACACATGTTTCAGTGCGATAGCGTAAGCACCACCTGCATACTCATATCTTATTACTATCTACCGCGAAGTTGTTCATGTAGAGAAGGCTGACGATGAGGGCACAGGATCATCTCCCATGCTATGGCAGACCATACTCGGGGTAATATGACGCTACCCGTCACGCCAGTGCCTGATCTGACAAAACCTCCTGGCTCTCAGCAAAGAAAATTGGACCATGTCGGAGACTCACAGTTGTTACTTACACCCGACCTCAAGCTTTGGGAAAATATGGCTATGGTTTTCTCCAAATCGCCATGCCGAGGTAGGACCTTATATATCGTCACCTGTACTCTAATGAGATCAGTCACGGACCTCCGAACTTCTGTGAAACAAGGGTGTGGGCCGGCCTTGAAAGCTCGGTTCCAAGAACTGGAGAGTGATTGCGCCGCAACCACACTTTCTCTGCCTGCCTGGGTCTTCAAGCCAGTTCGCAACCTGGGGACTGGGGAGACAGAAACAGAACACCGAGATAGACTGGAGGCATTGATTGTCTGGCAAGGGTAAGCACTCCATTCCGGTTTCTTTCTAGACAAATATTTTAACTAGCTTGCTAACTTAATAGTGCCTGTTTGCTACATGCTACCTTAGCTGTGCAATTGGATGGCACAAGTGCGATGTTAAGCGAGTCAGCATTCCAGGCGCAGTGGCAGACCGTGGTAGGGCGAGCAAACGAGGTGCTCCGCATTGTCCAGAACTGGAAGCCGGACTACTTTGAGGCCATCGATTCGAAAAGCGCGTATATCATCCTACTTACCGGTATTGTGTTGACGCTCGACGCGGCAATCCATTCGGTTTCAACGTCATCCAGTGCACGACCGTCGCACCACATGGATCTATTATTCCTTTTCTTGGGCCAAATAGGCCGGCATTGGCTCCTTGGTATGTATTTGTTCAGGTCTAGATCGTTTTTCATTGGAACCTCATGCTAACGTTAACTAAGCGAATCAACTAGCAGGTATGCATCACGCCTGAAATGAACTCCTTAGCAATAGAGCAAAAAACTTTGTTCTTTTGTGAGGCGAAACTAACTTGCTACAGATGTACTAAAGAAATACTGGGCTAAGCCTCCACTGTGTCAATCCCATAAGTCGGCTTTCGATTTTCTGTTGGACATCGTGCTTAATAGACGGATTCACTTCTCTACAGCTACCCTAGCAAGCAACGGTAGTTCTCTAGACTCGATGGATTTATTGTCATTGTCCGAGATCACAACAGAAGCAGAAGAAAGCCTGCAAGACGAAATTAGAGGGGAGTTTTGGTCTAATAATGAGCTTGAGCTCGCGTGGGATCCCTCTGATGCAATCTCTGGAGAGGTCGGCTCATCCCTAGACTGGGATTCCGTTCTTACATAGTCGACTTGAACAAATGTCACAGAAAAAATACGGAGAGATATCAGAGTATAGTAATTATTGGTTGTCCTGTTGATAGCTGTAAAATACCCAGGCATTGACAGTCAGAATGCTCAGCTATTCGTTACCATTTCCCAAGCCCGACTGATCTGATCCTCGAGCTGTTCCAGTGTTTTCGCTTGCGAAAAGATGATAAAGTCCGAGCGAATTAGCGCGTACTTGGCACTGGATTGAAATCTCTTCCGAAACGTGGAAGGGTCATAAAGAGGAAGCGGTTTGTGTCCAGCGCGAGAAGCCTCCACCGCTGTCGCAGGCGTCAACATTTGCGAGCTCTGGATCTTCTTAGACTCAGGCTGCAGTTGGAGGGATACCGAAGTTTTGTCACTCAAACAGATAGCTTTCTCTGCGAGGAAGTTGGAAGGGAGATCAAGCCGCTTTGATGCCTGTTGGATTGCTGTCCACTCTTGCTCGGTCTCCGGATGATGGAGAATTAATAATGTCAAGGCTGCGTTGGAGTTTCGAAACACGTGGTCTGATAAATGAACCGACCTGTCACAAGCGCCTTGGATAAAAATCTGAGCAGTCCTGGTTCCTCCACCTTGGTCCTCCAAGAAGAACCCGTCCTTTACACCACGGACACCGTCGCGATCTGAAAAGTGACCACGAAGCAAGGACAGTCGGAGGCGCGGTATCCAGCTTATCACGGTGTCCGCGCACCAAACGGCCCAACGCAGAACCTGAGATTTGGTCTGTAAGAAGGTCCCGTTGGCCGCGGTCATCCTCGCGGCTTCGTCGACACCTTGACGGCGCTCGCGTGACCAGGTCAACAAAAGCGAGTCTTTGTTGAAAGACGAGCTCTCTTTGTGTGGGATCTTCCTGTTGCCGCTGACAAGAAGAGACAGACGCCATGATAGTCCAAGTGCATCTCGTATTCCGCTGACGATTCCTTGAGCACCGAAAGGCGGGAAGACATGAGCAGCGTCGCCGATTAGGATGACTCGTCCGTCGAACCACCTATTGACAACTTTCTGGACAAAACTGCAATAGAGTAGAAGAAGCCGTTAATCTCATTCCTAGCTCCACCAAACGAAAAAGGACAGGACTTGTGAGGCAAAACCTGGCTGACTTACTGTGCTGGCCCACAACGCAAAACTTCTACACAATCCCACGGAAACCTTACAGGAGTCTTTAACTGACAAGCTTGGCCACTATTTAGTATGTGATGCGAGTTAGCCAAGTTTCAATACGCGGACAGCGTGGGCATATATATGGTTACCGTAGGCCAGAGGGCGGAATCGTCAGATGCGGTTCCATCTGTTCCTTGAGATGTCCTACGGCATCTTCTGGGAGTTCGAAGTTAGGGGGCAGCTCATATTCAAATCTGTATTTTTCACCTCAGTAAGTAAACTTAGCCCGAAAACATCACGCGAGAAGCACTCTTGGGAATATTGTACCTCCAGTATTTTTCCTCGATAGGGCCAAATCGGCCCGTAGCCACAGGCATCGTGGGATGATTACAGAAGCTGTTTTGCCATTGTGATCAGTGACATGAATATTTAAACTATCTTTCAGTCTTTGTTTCTTTCCATTTGTCTGAAGAAACTACTTCGGGTGTCACATACTGGAAGCCACCAGGCCAAAAGAGGTCCCAGAGCTCATCTGGCTCATAACCGAGATCCCAAAGGGGGAAATGCGGGTGAGAGCTAGGCGTGGGCATCGTAACTTTGAGATTTGCCGCCACCCATGTGGCCTCGTAACTATATCTGCTGGCCGGTTAGATTCTTTGGTGATGGCAACAATCCTCCAGTCATATATTTGGGTCCGAGATAACGAACAAGCGCGACAATAAGATTATGTAGGCGTAACATACCGTCCTGTTTCTTGCTTGATCCCCTTATCCTCCAAGAAGTGCTTTCGAACAAAGCCTCGCTTTCCGTCCGCCCCTACGGTATATTGACCTCGAATCACGTATGTTCCGGGTGTGCCCTTTTCTTTGTATGTTACTTCGACGTTGTTGGGATTTTCAACAATTCCAACCACTTCGCAGTCCAACTTCAACGTGATGTACTCAGAGACGTACGCTCTATCACGAAGAAGTTGCTCTGTCCAAGCCCGCTTGTTAGTTTGCTGCTGCTTTGGCTACCGGAAAATGGGAGAAACAAGAGCTCGGGGGAATATGTCACCTAGACCTGGCTGAAGAATGACACTGGCATTAGGCAGCGACTGCTCTGACCAGTCCTGATCGTGTTCGAGTTGGAGAAAAGGCACAGAGGTAAAAGTACTATCGTAAAAGTTTACGCCGGAGAGTGCTGTCAGAGTAGGTCAGCTGATGCCTCCCGTTACAATCGCCTACGCCTGGGTATATATACTGCATTCTGACCGCGTGCACTCGCACTTTAATTTCTGCTCTCTTTAGATGTATGTCACTTACGTTGGCTTATCTGGTCCATCTCTCTCGCAGTGATTCCAATCAGGGAAAGGATACGAGAAGCATCACCGGCAAGCGCAATAGCTCGAGGGTCTTCGCAGATGTCATGCTGCTTCTCGAGAACAACAGACTTGAGTTGGAGTATTAGCATGACGAGATGACTTGCAGTTGATCCTTGGAAATGAGCGCTTTGACACGACGTGCCATACCTTGATCTGGAGCTGACTGAGGGCAACTGCAAGACTCAGTCCCGATGGCCCAGCCCCGACAATAACAACGTCCGTCTCGGGCATTGCGATGAGAAAGTAAACTTCCTGATAGACTTATGGCTAATACAAGAGAAGATAGCGATTGAATGGAGAGATATCATAGAAGGCGAGGGAATGGATAGCTTGTCAAGTTTTGTGTCGCAATCGTGTACCCGGCATTAGCCAGACCTAGTCAATAGTCACGATGTTATGCTTCGTTGCGTTCAAGACAAGAATTTAGGTTCTTCTATTTTTGCCTTCTATCTACCAAATACGTTGCTCCGGAAATTGGAGTTGTCAATACGTATCACACTATTGTCATACGGCCGGACATGGCATAATGGGCTCACCACACTCCAGTAAAGTAACAAATCCCCCGGCCTCCCGGCACTAGATAGCCAAGAGTGTCAATTAGGTTCAGGTCTCCTGCTGCCCCAAGTTTCGGTTGCTCCGCGTGTGTCGATCACGCCTCAATAGCAGAGTGGGGTCAACCGCAGCCGGAGGAACTGAGCATTGGAGGATCATCACGGTGGAGGTTGCTCCGGCGCCATCTCTGATGCGCCATACAACACGGCCCAGCCTCGGGCTTTTCCAGTCAGTCCCTCAGGTTCTCATTGTACTAGGTATCGGATCCTCGGCCAGGGAAAGTCCATCGGCATCTTCTAGCCCTGTCTGACTATAGCTTGAAATGATGCCACACATACAAGTAGATCAATGCTAGACGTTGGCTATTCACACAATTGCTTTACTACCAACATCTCTAGAACCTATTCCACGACATGGCACCTCTTTGGACTCATCCCAGCCCGCACCTCATACGCCTCGACGCGTTCAGGCGACATATCAACAAACAATACAACGAGCACATACGAGACTACGCATCACTGCACCGATGGAGCGTCGAAAATCTGGAGCTGTTCTATCGAGAGCTCTGGAATTTTAGCGGGCTCGTGACGTCGAAGCCGCCGCTGGCAGTCGCCGATTCGCTCGCCGCCATGTGGCCCCGGCCGCAATGGTTCCCTGGAGCCGAGATGAACTTCACCGAGAACGTGCTAGCCACCGGTCTCGCGGCTCATCAAGACATGATTGCCGTCTCGGCCTGTCGTGAGGGGGGCACGGATTGGAGGCACCTGACTTGGATACAGCTGCGGGACCAGGTTGCTCTTTATGCCAGTGCACTCCAAAATGCTGGCATCGGAAAAGGGGACCGTGTTGCAAGTAAGAATCCATTTACCTCTCTTTGCTTTCCTTCGCCCCTTCAACTGAATAGATTGTCGCTAACGATATGCGCAGCGGTCGTGACCAACTCCCTCGAGGCCCTCCTGATTGCACTGGCTTCTGGTGCTATCGGGGCCATCTTCTCGTCTACGTCGCCAGACACGGGACCCAAGGGTATCGTCGAGAGGTTTTCCCAGATTCAACCTAAGATCTTATTCGTCGAGTCCAATGTGTTATACGCGACCAAGAGAAGAAATCTAAGGGAGCGTCTTGGTGCTGCTGTCGACGAGCTCAAGACCAAGGTCACCGGCCTGGACAAGGTCATCGTCATCAATGATCCTACATGGGAAAAAAGCGGACTGTACGTAGATGAGCTTCCTGATGACAAGTCAGACAAGGCGATCATATCATCTCCCATATACTCACGGCTACGTGTTAATGATCTGACTTTTAATGCTTCTTCAGAATCCGCCTTGAAACGTTCCTCGAAGCCCCTCCTCGACCTCTCAAGTTCGTTCAAGTACCTTTTGATCATCCCATCTACATCCTATTCACGTAAGTTACCCCAGTCCAATCGTCCTGGGGACTATTCGTCCTAGAAGAAAAGAATCCAGCTGACACGCACTTGCTACCAATGAACAGTTCTGGGACTACAGGCACCCCTAAATGTAGGTCAACTTCAAAACGGCATACACGATGTTTCATGACAGCTGACGCCTCCCGTAAAAGGTATTTGCCACTCTGGAGGAGCAGTTCTCCTGAAGAATAAGTTAGACCTGGGCCTGGGCATGGACATGGGCATAGACTCAACATACTACCAATACACCACTGTGAGATTACTCTTCTATTGCTCCTACTCGTTCCACCTATCTTTATAGATAAACAACAGAGAACTTACTCCTAGACTTTTGACCACCAGACCGGCTGGATGATGTGGAATATGCTCATCGGCGCTCTGAGCCTCGGATCAAGGATTGTTCTTTACGACGGGAGTCCTCTGCATCCAACTCCTTCCTTTCAGCTCAGTCTCCTTGAAAGCCAAGGGTACGTATGATTCCTTCTGGTCCCTCATAGTTATTGTGTATTACATGCAGTCCACTGATTGGAGATTAAAGGGTAACTCATTGGGGCACGAGCCCTAAATTCCTCGCCGGGCTCAGAAGCGACCCCGAGAGCAGTCCAATCGCAAGACGCTTGGAGGGTCTCCAAAACGTTCTTGTATCCGGCTCCCCCCTAAGTACTAGTCTCTCCGCTTGGTTCTACGCCGATAACTTCCCACAGCACGTAGGTCTGCATAACGGTTCTGGCGGCACCGACCTCGTTGGTGGCAGTAAGTTGAAGGAATCTTTCTCGACGGAACCTTGCAGCATCGCTAAACGAGCACCGCTAATATTTGAGCCTCTCCATAGTTGTCGGCGGAAACAACCTCTCGCCCGTTTTTGGGAGCGAGCTAGCCGCTGCTACCCTCGGAATGAAGGTAGAGATCTGGAATGCAGGCGGTGAAAACGTCGAGGGCTCGGGAGAACTGGGCGAGCTTGTCATCACGAAGCCTTTTGTCAGTATGCCAGTCAAATTCTGGGGAGATGATTCCACAGGCAGGAGGTACTTTGATACCTATTTTTCGCTATTTCCAGGCGTATGGAGCCACGGCGATTTGATATCGAAGAGCTCCGTGACAGGAGGCTATTCTATCCACGGTCGCAGTGATGGAGTCCTCAACCCAGGAGGTACTGACGGATGCTCCATCTTCCGAGCCTTGCCGGTGGTGCTCATACGTAGGAACTTGTGGGCTGACATTGCTTTCGATTATAGGCGTCCGCTTCGGTACGGCCGAGTTGTACGACGTGGTCAGTCGATTTCGCGAGATCGAAGACTCTATTGTTGTAGGCCAACGGGTTCGTCGCTGCCAACAAAACGGTGAAAGTGACATAGAAGATGAAAGGGTAGTCATGTTTATCAAGATGAAGAGCCCCGGTGCAGCGTTAGACACCTCACTGCAATCCAGAGTCTCCGAGGCGATCCGCAAAACGCTCAGCGCCAGGCATGTCCCCGAGGAAATCTGGCAAGTGAAGGATATACCCTGTACAGTGAATGGGAAGAAGATTGAGAAGGTTGTCAGGGCTATTATTTCTGGAGAGAAGGTAACCTCGAGAGATTCGATTGCGAATCCAGAGTGCCTAGATGAGTATGTCAAGTTTAGCATGCCCGGAAAACTATTGGCTCGTCTATAACTGTCATCTATCGGTTACGGATTAATTAGATGTGATTTAGGCAAATAGGTAGGCAGGTACCTACGAGAATAATGGCAGCCCTATTACGTATCATGATGTTCATGAATGAGACTTCAAATGTATCGTAACTTGTGACTGGTGCTAGTGCCACACCTGAGACGTTATGAATGATGGTACTTTGTTGAGACAGCAGAATAACCCAACAAGTATCACAGGCATTGATCTAGCACCAGCTTCCGAGTGAACGTCGTCGGTTACTAAAACAAAATGTTATCAATCGCTTGCAAAAGCTTCATGTCCGCTAACCTAAACCTTTTAAGAGACAAAAGAAGAAGAATAAAATATCATAAAGGTTAAGTTACTAGTCTATACAAGTAGCAAAAAGGGAGCTACAGTAATGCCTTGCATTGATATAGGGTAGGCTACAACAAAACCTCCGCTGTTTCATCAATTTGGAAGATGGAAGAAGGCTGATACTTGGATGTGCTATTGAGAATAAAGAGAAAGACAAAGAAAAGAGCGTTTACTGAACCCCAGCTTATTCGTTGAATTGCCTGCTTGCATTGATACAGTCAAGAAGATTGTGTCGGCGCAATGCTGTGTTACTGAGCGGACACTCTCCGACACGGAACATGCCACTCAGGCGGCGCTCATCCGCCGCCAGGGGTAGCGGTGATATTGCCGCTCCATGAATATCTTTTCGATATATCCTTACAGGCGGTATTTCCCACATTGTGGTACAGTTAAAAGACTTGCAGTTCCCGATTACGCTCACCACTGCTAATATAGACGATAACAGAGCCTAATATTTGAACCTCGATAAACCTGCTTGGTCCGTTGTGCGCTCTCAAAGGAGACCATCTTGTCATTTTCTACCGTCGACCATATCTCCTCCCACAACAATGCATCCTTCACTGCCAAATCCAGCCTCGAACTTATCCCACTGGCACCGCACGACTCGATCGTTCCCCCACTTGAACGCGAACCGGTTCGCCGAAGTCCCATCCTCCGCCAAATATGTTGTGATTGGGTCCGGCATCACTGGAGCGGCTACTGCTTGGGAGCTGATCAACAGCGGAGTGGCGGGAGAAGACATTTTGATTCTGGAGGCTAGAGAGGCCGTCTCAGGTGCTACAGGACAAAATGCAGGACATGTGCGACCAGGTAAGAAATGCCTTATTTTACCTACCATACGAATTGTGCAGTTACTGTGAAGAACTGAAATTGACATCTAACATCTTTGTTGAAGACGCATTCCGCGGGTTCCCTCGTTTTTCTGCAATCCATGGGACAGAACAAGCGAAACTTATACTCGAGAATGAGAAACTGCATCTGCAAAGCGTCAAGGACTTCGTCGAGACTCACAACATCAACTGCGACTTCAACTATACTACAACCATCGAGGTGTGCATGACGGAAGAATATGCTAGTCACCTGGCCAAGGTCTTGTCCCAGTATCGGAAGGCTGGTGGTGATGTCTCCCATATCAAATTTTACCAGGGAGATGAAGCAAAAGCAAAGACAAAAGTCCCTGCTGCCATTAGCGCGTACGAATGGCCCGCTGCATCAAACCATCCAGGCAAGTTGACGCAATGGGTTTTGAGCGATGTCATCTCGAAAGGTGGGAAGCTGTGGACACACTGCCCCGCAACCAAGATCTCGAAGCATCAGGGTGCAGATGGCGCACGATGGGATATTCAGACTCCTCGTGGAATCATTGCCGCCGAGACAGTCATCCATTGCACAAACGCCTATGCTGGATATCTTCTACCGGAGATTTCTGGCGTCGTTACTCCGCGAAGGGCACAGGCCCATTCTTACGTCCCTCCCGCTTCTTTCTCCGGCGAGTCTGCGTTGAAGAGCACGCGGTCTCTCCGTTATGGCCCAACAAACTTCTTCTCTGTGAATCAGTTGAAAGATGGCACTGTTATCATGGGAGGACAGGCTGTAAGAAGTGACGCTGAACGGACCCCGGAGTATCTCAAGGGCAGAGTCAGCTTTGACGATACAACTCACAATCCACAAATAATGAAAAACAGCATTGAAGAATTCTCTAGATTAACAGCTTCATCCTCAAACGGGCCCACTCGACCCGGGGAAGGCTTCTCCTATGTGTGGACGGGGATTGTGGGAGAGACACCAGATGCTGTGCCATTCGTGGGTGCACTGCCTGGTTTGGATGGGCAATGGATCTGTACTGGCTACAACGGACACGGTAAGTATCGTCACATGCACCATCGGCAGAAGGTTTATCTAACTTGAGCAGGAATGGCGCGAATCTTTCAATGTGTTCCTGGATTAGTGAAGCTTATCAATGGTTGTCACACAGTCTTCACATTAGGACTGTTTCCTATTGATGTAGTATACTGAGTTTGGAGACTCTTCTCCATTCCTTGTGCAGTGTAGTTTATAATAAACACGTGTTGTTCTATTTGTCGAGATCAAGTCGGTGCTATTGTAGAAACATAGACTTCTATCCGCTTACGGCCTTTGAAAGTGACGTGGTACTGTTAATTCGATGAAGTATCAATAACCGCCTAAGCAGGTGGTATTGATTCATAGGAAATCGCAATTGAATGTCCAGGCAGGAAATGGCAAAGACAGTGCCCTGATAATGAATGACTCGTGGCAGCATAAGAACTTATGTTATGCCGTCCCACTCATGGATCGAGGATGTAAACCAGCTTCTAGTTTGTGCACAGAGGAACAGACAATCACTCAGGGCATAAGCTATCTATCCTCCCACCTCATGTGCAAATACGTCATCGGCATGAAGGTTTAAAGTGTTATCTACCGTATGACTGCAGCCTTGGGCTAGTAAGGCTTTCTTTTTTGACCTTTCGTATTCATCGTATTGAGTTTGTTGGGTCTGACATCTTTGTTTTAACGTTCAAGCCAAACCTCCTCCGGTATGTGCAAATACCAAAGCTAAACCAGACACGCGAATCAAGTATGGCTTTATTCATAAAATAGGAGCTTCATAAGATATTTCTCTTCTTTAGTATACAGCAGTCCAGTTCTTCAACCCAAATACATATGCTTTGGCTCCCATTAGGACGGCTCCTGACGCAGCATATATGACGCCAGTCAAGATTATAAGCCCCGTGTAGTCCCCGCCATTGGCATTCACGATACTACCGCCAATAGGAATACTAATCAAACAAGCAAATGAGACGACGCTAAATGAGGTAGCATAGTACCTCCCGTAGTCCTGCGTCTCACAGACCTGACCGACACAAACCGGCGCCAGTGCGATGAGAGTTCCAGTTGCGAACCCGAAGAGAACGGCGAAGGCGACGATTCCTGCTGCTGTATGTCCTGCAGGTAGCCACACTCCAAAGCATGCGATAACAGAGAGCACCACGGCAAAAACATTCATGTTTAAAGGTCCAACCAAGTCGGCATAATATCCTGGCACAATCCGGCCCACAATTGAGGCGGCGTTGAGAATTGGCACCAGGTTATATGAGAAGTCCAGCCCAAGGCCGTGATCTAGGGCGTATGATGAGATGAAGCCCAGCGGAATGAAGAGAGAAAACTCGAAGAGGAAGATGCCCGCAGTGATCAAGACAAAATCGATTTGCCTGAAGATGCGCAAATCCGGATGGGCTTTTGCATTCTTCGCAGGTGCCAGACGCGACTCAATGGCGAAGACGGCAATGGAGCCGCAACAGAGGCAGATGAGAGCCACGGCGCGAGTTGCCCAGGCATATCCAATTGAGTCGAACAAAGAGGACAGCATAAACGGGAATATGACACCGCCGAGGCCACCAGCCGTTGAGGAAATAGATGTCGCTAAGCTTCGCCGTTCTTTAAAGAAATGCCCGACGGCAGCGATCGAAGGACAAAAGAGCAGGGAAGTGCCGAAGCCGCAGGCAACCCCAAATGCTAGAATGAACTGCCACAACTCTGGGACGCCAAGTAAGCAACTGAGCCGCTTGAGAAGCTGGAGGGAAACATTACCTGTGCAAAAGCTCATGGCCAACAATCCACCCGCCATCATGGCAGTGCCGGAAATGGTGAGCCCACGAGGGCCATACTTGTCGAAAATCGGTCCGAAGTACACTCCACAGAAAAAAGATAGGAAGGCGTATAAAGAAAACACCCAGCCGACAGTACCCGGGCTATAATTCTGCAGCTGATGTTCCTGGATGTATGCTTGAAAGGTGCCGATGGAGTTCAAGATGCCGAGAGATGCGAATGTGCCGAACCATGATCCTGCAACTACCGTCCATGCCTTAAATCCTCCTTCAGGATATGCTCCGGAGCTTGCGGATTCTATATCGTCATCCTCTGCGTGTCCTACCCTCCCAGATGGGTCAACTGGTTGTGAGCGAGAAACTCGAGGATTGTCAATTGCTTGAACTCCCAAATCACTTGAGATCTTGCTGTTTGTTGTTTCAGTCCCCGACATCATGATGATTCCGCTGATGCCGGATTGAGCGAGATGTACAAATTCGAGAGAGAATTGACTGCCGTATTGGATAATAAGGCAACCAGCTTAGCTCTTTTGTACGATTATGCTTGTTGGGACAACCATAGCCCGCTAGTATTTCTTGGGGCCGGGCTTTACTATTTTGACGCTACCAAAGCTCAAATTTTTTTTACGTTTCAGGAATTAAAGTCAGGGCAAGGGCAGGCTTAGTCCCGGCCAAGTCTGGAAGTCTCAACGGGCAACCCATAATACACGCGGTTGGTTTCTCGTAGATCTCGTATCATCTTGACAAATCGATTCCTACGGGAGGCGGATATTTCGCAAAAAAAAAAACTCGTCAATGTGGGTACATCTAGTTCAACGCGACTAACATGGGTTCAAACGGATTCACGAGAGGCTCTGCGCGACTGTCACTTGCCAATGGCCCACCCAGAGGAATCTGTGAGTGAGTACGTACCCATAGAGTAATTAAAATGGTCGGTGGGTGGCAAACTCGCCACAAGTTGCATGTTTCCTCGGTAAGGGCATGCAAGCGACGTTGTCGACCGCCTTTAGCCATGCCACTGACACGACCTGGGTGTCATTCAGGGGGTTTCAAGAACAGGGCCCAGAATTTACTGTAATTGAAGTCTCTTTCCGCAGGAAAACCGAGCCTAATTTCGTGGCTTTAGGGTTCCGGCCATTCAGTCCATCCCCGCATTCTTGTCGCTTATATCCGCTGTCGGCTAATAGCGACGCACGAACAGAGACTCCTAGAGCCACAATATTGCCGTAGAAGCTTTACTCAAGGTTATTATCCCGGGCCTGTAGGAAGCCCAAGAAGGTATCGGAGACTACCGAAGGGGCAAACCCCAGCCTCGACTCACTCCTTAGTTCATGACCTGTCAGTTGGCCTTATTTTATGCTCGATTATATGCTCGCATCAGAATAGCATTATTTCAGGTCATATCTTTCCTTTCACAGTACCACGCACATCATATTTCATCCATCACTCAACCGTACTACCGGTTTTAGTCACATATCAAAATGTCGCGGCCGAAGCTCATCATCGACACTGACCCAGGTAAACAATGCTCTGATGCCTATTGTAGTTTTGAAAACTAACAGCTATAGGTGTTGATGATGTCATGGCCTTGCTCTTGGCATTGAGTGCCCCTTCAGACGAGGTCGACATCTCGATGGTTTCAGTCACATATGGCAACGTTTCAAGAACACAGTATGTGGGTTACGATTATTGATCATGATGGAGATTTTTCAATAGAGCCCTTCCGGTATCCATGGACCCCGGGTTATAACTAGATCAATTGCTAACTACATAATTAGCTGCGCTCAAAATGTCCTAACTCTATTCAATGTCTTGGAGAAGTAGCTCGCATGGAGAAGACAGGCGGGCAAACCAGAAGGTTACCATGTTTTACAAAACAGTTTGCCTAGTATTTCTCTTGGCGCTGAGCATCCGTTAGAGGGTGAAGATCTAGCTGCTGACTACTTCCGTATAGTGGTATCTCGCTCAGTTCCTTAACTTTTGTTCAGCACAAGATAACTGGCATGGGGCGGACGGTGAGGATGGCCTGCAGAATGTTCACAAGGTATACCCCCAATTCAGTCCTGCCAAGGACTGGCCGAAACTCTTTGAGATGCTGGGGACGAGGTCGTTGGCTCTGTGGATGCGATGGCCCGTTTTACCCCATCAAAGCAGGCCGCACACCGTGAGATGCTCCGTCTCCTGAGAGAGAACCCGGAAGATTCCATCACCATTGTCGCCATGGGCCCATTGACTAATGTAACACTTGCTGCGGCCGAGGATCCCGAAACGTTTCTTCGAGTCAAGGAAGTCGTGGTTATGGGCGGCGCCGTGCATTGCGAGGGCAATGTGACACCAGTAGCCGAGTTCAACTGTGCTATGCCGACCCTGTTGCCGCAGCACGGGTTTACACCCTTACTTCGCCCAGCCCGGGTTCAACCATGCCATCTTTACACATCCGATCATCAAACCTTCCCAATTATCCTCTCAACCTTCCGCGTTGGTTGGAGTTGACACTGGCACCTCTTGATATCACGCTGCCGCACATGATGACGAAGTCCTACTTTGAGCAGCAGATCAAGCCACATATTCAGGCCGGGAGCCCTCTAGCATTGTGGACCTCGTCTTTCATTATGGCCACGTTTGATCAAATGACGTCGCTACAGGCAACTGACAAGGAGACTGAGTTGTCTTTGCACGACCCCCTCACCATCTGGTACGCTATGACTCGAGACCAAGGTGTGTGGGAGACTACAGCAAAGCCCGAGGATTTGCGTGTTGAAACAACTGGTGAATCGACCAGGGGCATGCATGTTGTGGATAAGCGAAACAGAAATATTGCTGATGATGGCTCTACTTTGACGGGAGTCAGCTCGGAGTTAACGGATAACATTCTTGGAGATGATATGGGATGGCTGAACCCAACCAAAGGAAATAGGATCAATCGCCTGATCAAGTCCCCTGGGGCTGATCTCTTCCAGGAACACTGGATGCAGAGGGTATTCGAATAGAGCGCGCCAACAGATCATACGACACACCCAAATTTTAGCTGATCATAACGGAAAGACTGAACTTAGGGGCTAACGCCATCCCAGGGACGTCAGCCGTGGCTCATGATTTGACTGTGCCGTAGCGGGGACATAATCATAATCACCTCCTTATATTGATACTCGAGAATAATACAGCGACACGTTTCTCATATACATCCGCGTTTGTTTAAGTTAGACCATGTCCTTGGGGGCATTATGTATAGAAGAGGCACTACAACGAGCTAACTGAATGTGCCGCGGAATTCCGCAGTCTATGACGTGCAGAAACACGGCGTGCGCGGGTGAGCAAGGAATTTCGGCAGTTGGTTCAGCTTGACATGGTCAGATGCCTAAATTAGATGCGCTGCAATTTATAGAAAACGGCGCCTGGCACAAGGCTGACACAGGAGAGCTAGGCCTTGAATAGTCTCGAATCATACTTCATTGAAAGCACGGGGAATAAGGAGTGTCACGGTATCATTTGACGATGATTACGGCACAGCTCGATCTGGAGCCAGCGGGAGTTTCAGGGGCTGTGTCCATTCCGCTGCTTATGGAGTGTGAGAACTAAAGTACCGCGCAAGGGCAACAGTAATGGAGACACCCATGGGTTGCTGACCAGAGAGGATAGGTATTCATGCATGAATTTCTCGGAGTCTCCCGTGTGTAACGGTTCATCGCCGCCTGGAATTTCTGTATTTGTCTTTGCCTTTCCGTTGCAACATCGCAAGATATCGCCATAACAGACTTCTACATCTTCAAAAGGCAAATACAATTCAGTCAACTCTTATTCCCTTTGTCATACCGTTATAAGCATTTCATATATCGCCCTCTAGTCCTTTTCATGTCAGTGCTAATGAACATATTGTTGGGGACATGAAGAAAGTTGAACCCGGCAATTATTCTCAAGGTAATCAATAGCTATTTCGATCAACGATCTGCCGGGATCAGTCTGACTCATGTGCACCCTCATAAATGTATCCGTTTACATGAAATCAGCACTCTCTATCAGGCAAGTGAGTGGACGCTGCGTATACCAGGCTGCCACTCCGCATCATGTGAAAGTGCATACCTCGTACGGGGGAAGTCCTATGCTAACTTCTCTCAGATAGTAGGCAGAAATCTTGAATCATGAAGAAAACCTCTGTTTGTATTGGGTGATTGCTTGTCCTCTAACAATTTAGGTAAAAACAAGATTTGTGAATTGAATGACTGCGAAAAAAAAAACCGTATAATATTCCTCCATAAAATCGTTATCATAGGACTCCCTGTCGGGAAAGCTACTCTATGTGAAGCGGCTATGTTCTCATAGTGTGAACAGCCGAAAAGAAAATGTGTAAATAAGAAACAGTATGAAAAGGTTGTCGACAGACTCCAAATCTCCCTTCGTCCTTGGCCTGCTTGCTTTCAAGGCTCTCTTTGCTCGGCTAGTGTTGAGCCTGCGAAGTGGCGAGCTGGATAAACCAACATCTGTTTGTTTTCGGAGAACTCTGCCAACACACCATTCCCTCGAGATCGGTGTCAACATTATGAGTTGCTCTTTTCAGAGTCGTTCCAAGGAGTCGATGAGAAATGAGCCGAGGAGGGTGTGTTTGTCTGCGACTGAGTGTTGCCGCCGTTGGAAGACGATTGGCCACCCGAGGATGACTGATGAGAACCTGACCCTGACCCTGAGGTCTGTCCGGAGGTAAACTTTGGTCGAGGTCTCTTTTTGAGTGGTGGGAGAGGCATTTTGGAAATCAAGGCTGGTGTCAATTCTGATTATTCTCTTGGTTGGTGTTGTATCAACTCTGAGATGCTCTGTTTTGATGTGTTTTGAATGAGCTGTTATCTGTTTGAACTGATCGATAGCTCTGGGCCATTCTTTCAATATATATTAGTATATATTGTGCCTGTTTCCCTCTGCCTGCTGGAGGTGACCCATGTAAGGAGAGCGCCCAGTGTCATGAGAACTAAGTTTGCGGCGTGAGGCAGAATGATGCTGGGTCAGCGTCCGGCATGAGTAAATGAAATCACGCTTGGAGTTATTGCTCCCAGGATCGCAACTCGTACTAGATATTGTTTAGGACGAATTTGGGGGCCGGGTCATAATTCCTTTCTAGGCTGGATTTTATTCCCTGCCTAGCTCAAGCTCAGTCCAAAGCCTCAGCCTTACAGGTGGCCATCCTCACTCAAAAAGCCTTCACTAGCCTCGTTTGCTCATTCTTAAATACCCCTGTCTAGCAAAGTCGAGGATGATTGGCTCTTCAGATCCCCAGTATTGAGTCACAGCGCGCTCGGTCCAGCCTCGTGCCACACCATGAGGTATTCTTACACTTATGTTTCTTACACTTCTCTGTGGCACATGCTGCGGCAGTGTCTCAGTAGTTTATTTGCGTTCCGAAATATATGCTCATTCTTGAGAGAGATTGACACTCTACGCGTTGACCGAAATTATCGCCAGAGCAATATTCCAGCTCATTACTAGTGGCAATAAGCAGGATCCCCCGTCGACCCCATCCCATGTGGCACGGGGCCCTTGGCAGGTCGCCGTCCCCATTAATCAAGCCGCAGCCGTCTTACCCTGGCCATGGGTCGCAGCGTTCCTGCGGCTCGTCCTGGCGTTGAGCTCTGTGCCGTATAGACTACGAACGTTAGTTCCCCCAAGATCGGGATTAGCGACTTATCATCGTCGTCCGGCATATTGAAATAGGAAAATCATTCTCTCACATCCCTTTGCAGCTCTTCCCACGCAAATGATCTGCCCTGCCATCCCCAGTTACCGTCGTGGCTTGTCTGCGGAGTACACGGGGACCTCCTCACACCAATATCGCTCTCCCGTGGGTGCCGGCAGAAGAGCCGTCCTCCTGTCGCACCGTTCCGTGCCACCGAACACTACACCCAATAAACTTTATTCAGGCGGCTGTGATTGGAGTGCACCTGTTGCCTGGCATCAAGTGACTGGGGGGTCGGAACATCATGCTCTATTCTAAGAAGCCGCCCAGTGATCACAAGGGGCACGCGACATAGGGGCATGATCTCACCAACAACTGCCTTGACCTCCTTTTCTCACTCTTTTTCCTGAAGGCAAGTCGTAAATCTTATGGTGAAATACACAGAAGCGCAGGTAATAGCGCTTGTCTGAGCGTTGTGCCAGGATGACAAGCGCGCGCGTAGGGATTCAAAACAAGGGCCATGTCACCTCCCTGTCCGCTCTGCTTGCCGCAAAAGGTCCCAATATCATATCCTTTGCCGCAGTCGAGACGCTTATTTGGATATATCATTCGCTTTGTCGATCTACGTCACCGCTCACATGTCTTTGATACCCAAAAACTTGCGCTCTCTTGACCACCACCATGTGTGCCAGAGACGCGATGTGCCAGCCCCAGAACGCGGTTTCACCCCTCACTTCCCCACTCGCCGTGCCTGAAGCACCGTTACAGGATGCTGGCAGGCCGCTGCCGGGCTCCGCGGAAATTGCGTAACCGCTGGATGATACCAGGAGCGGAAGATTTGCTCTCTCAACCGGCCGGCAATTCATAAGCAACACTCGCAACATGCGCGCTACGCTAGCCGCTTATTGCAATCGATTCGATTCCCCAATAGTGGATGGGATGCCATGAAGATGGCTGACAGTTCGCCGAACCCAGGATTTGGCGCGGCTCTGCTGTGCCGTGCGTCAACTTGCCACCCTGCATTGATCCGCGAAGCCCGCACGCGCCGCGGCAGTGATCAGTGCGGGTTTGCCACTGGTAAATAACACGAGGTGAACGGGCCCCGTTCATATTGTTTTGTAAGAATACTTAACCAGCGCCGGCCTGGCCGAGGGGACACCAAATTAAGCCCCATCATCATGACTATTTCCAGTTAATGAATATCATTCCAACGGTCACGCTCCTCGGCAGCTACAGAGAAAGTACCACTGTTACCAGAAGGGGACGGGCATATTGACATGTGCCTTTGTCCTGGCCGAGGGAAGGAATATTCCCAATGCAGGGAGAGGAGATGGGTCATTCCGGGGAGGACTCATATTACTTCTCAGCTGAATGGTATCAATCAGGCAGCTCAAGATGAATCCGGGATCAGCTCTGGGAACTGTGCCTAAATTGACTACTCGTGTGGTGGTCAATACATCAAGGGGAATTCACCTGAATACTCCTTGGCATAAGCGGATGTCGTACCCTCGAGCAGATGGAGAGGAGCAAACGCGATCACTGTTCTAATTGGCAAAAGACCGTCCGATGTATATCAAGCCCCCGGGCCGAGACCAAATAGAATAACAGCCGCCAAGGGCCGCGAGCGGAGTTCCCCGCGTATTGGCGTTTATAAATCACGGTACCATCTGCTGGTCATCTAATACCACTTCAAAGAGATAGCTTCCTCGGTAACATTCGTTAACTCCCGATGAACTGACGGATCAGCTAAACTTTGGCTGAATTGCTTATTTTCTTCTTTGATTTTCTTGCTCAAACTTATTCGATCTCATGCTACTCGGGGCTCTACTTTCTCTCTGGCAGGAAACTACCCAATACCAAAGATCAGGTTATTTCCTACATGGAATGAACAAGTAATCAATGAAATGGTCATCAACTCCATCAGACACTATCATCGCCCTGGATCCGGTGATCCCAGTGAAAAGAGCAGATGCCCAAGTATCGCTCGCTAAACCACCCTACCCTATCTTCATTCATTGTATCTCTACACGGAATATTACGAAGAACAGACGTCAATATCAAACTACATAGGGCGTATAGTGCGCTATGTGAGAGATTTCGTTGCATCGCTAACGTATTTCTAGCTCTGTTTTCTTTACCTCGGAACCCTGTGAAACGTTCATACCACGGATGGTCATGAGATCAACATTTTGGGCCTATCATCCCAATCCTGCACTTGGACGATACTCAAAAAGCTTACTATTCACTATGAACAAAATGTCATTTGCAAATGACAGCCCACCTTATTACTTGAAATTGTGGCGGTAGCTTCCATGACCGTGTTCAAGGCACCCGGTCAATCGTCCTTCTCTAGAGCCATATTGAATGTGAGAGCGTATAAGGCGATTTAGCATAATCTTGAAGTTACCACTTCAAATTCCCGGGCACTTGTAACACACAATGGCAGAAGTCATGTTGATCAATGAGTACTAGGTACGATACAGAAGCGAAGAACATGACGGCTAGTTCATTTGAGGGATTTAATTGCTATACAAGTACCAAATAGCTTTTTTTGTATGGCTCTTTGGTGAAATCCCCTCTCTTCAGCTGGTATGCATGTAAGATTGCCCAGTGGCGGTAATTGGTTGGGGCTATGCAAGTCTCAGGAGCCCGTCTTCACAGCCACACTGAGCTCGTCCTCTGAACATGGGTTCATTCCAGCACCATCTCTGGGCGCATGTTTCAGTGTCGCAGAGGCAACTATGCACTCATAAATCATTGTATAGCATTGATCAAAGCCTGCGTCAATGGACAAAGGGCGAATTATGACAGCTCATACATCCCAGCGACCACAAGAGAGCACGAGGCAGGCATGGATGTATTTGTTGTATTATTACATTTCATTACTATCTCGCTTTTCAACGCATAGATTTTAGAATTTTACCGAATTTCCTCGTGTTGAGATTGGCAGACAAGAAGAGTGGCCGGTGATAATAGACATCCAGATGCCTGCAATCTTCCCCCAATATGGACCACTAGCTACAGTATAACGAACTCGCCGACAAGTATTAATCGCATTATCCGAACAAAAGCATGTCAAGCTCAACGAATGTCCAACCAGAGCGAAGCCATCTCCAATCCTGCCCGCCACGTTGGCGCATTGACGGCGTGGGTCGTCGCGGGATTAATCGCTGGCGATTCGATGATCTGGCGTTGCATCGCATTGTTATGCCATAAATCGTGACTGGCCCAACCGGCATTTGCAAACCTCTCATAGCCTCTCCTACGATGGAGAGCCGGACTGTTATGCATCTAGACCCAGATGATTTAGATTGTCTCATTCCCGAGTTCATGCCAACGCCAATAGAGGCTGCGTTGTCACCGTAATATTCGACATCATGATCCTAGGTACTGCAAAAGCAAGCATCTCCAATGCCGAAATCCGTGATACGGGGCCTTTGGGGCTTCATGCTAGTTACAATATTCAGGAATGACCATTCTCAACGCCTTCCCGAGAACACATAAAAAGCCACGATGAGACCCAAATTCTACATCTCTTTCTTCTCATTACTCATCACTCCATCAATTCAACACCCATCACTGCCTTTTCACAAACTTTCTAAACGTTCCCGTTTAACCAAGCAACCAAAATGTCTGAGCAGTTCACCGTCCCTCTCCCCACCGCCACTGGCCTCGCTGAGCCTGCTGGTAAGTTTCGGCAAACACCCTTCTTATTCAAGATGTCTCCGACGAATGATTGCTAATATCGATTCTTCAGGTCAACTCATCAAGGGTGCCACCCAAGACGATGGCTCTCTCCGCGACGCCGCCCTCCTCCTGGGCATCAAGCTCGATCTCGAGGCCGAGGTGCACCTGACTGCCCGTGTCAAGGGTGATGTCGTCGTTGGTCTGTACTAAGGGCATCTCACAGTGCCGTGGATGGAGTGAAGCTATTATAGAAGGGCCTTGGTGTGATTGTGGGTTCGATTGGCAATCCCTCTAGGATCCAATCTTTGAGCTAGGGCTACAAAAATTCCAAAAACAATTCAAATTTTTCAAACATACAGCCACCTCGTCGTGTTCTCTACCTTCGAACCAGGATTCATTAGCAGCACGTAGCTGCTCGAGCTGATGACGAGCCTTTCCTTCCTGGATATGAAGCTGAAACAACCGGTGAGAGAATGACGCAGGCCAAATGACATGTCGCCTGGAATGTGGGCGCAGGTAAATATCAGGCATCAGCTCTGTGACAAGTGAGACATTTCGACCGACCAATGGCATCATTGACTCTATCCAGGTGACCAAACTCATGCATCCCCCTCTCCAAGTGACGAAAGTCTTTCTTCCCCGCTCGCTCAGGTTTTTAGACTCTCAACAGTCAACACACCTTCCTCCCAACGTGCCATCGTGACCAGAACATACTATATCATGAATGATACCATGACAGAAGATATCATGAATAAGACTGGATTAGCAGGCCTGCCAACTGAGGTCCTGAGCGAAATCATACGCTCTTTACTTGATGAAATCACCACAAACAAGAGATCAGGTCGTCCACACGACTACAGCACTCGAGACTACAGATGCGCAACCGCCCAGGCGACGAAAGCTCTGGTCACTCTTAGTCTCGTCTCGCGCAGGCTTAGGGAAGCTGCCACCATCTCACTATATCGCCGTGTCACACTCGTCCCTCGCAGACTCCCGGGCTCGCCGATAGCTTCCGAAGCGCCACCCCATGATAGCGTTGTCCCCCTGACGCTCTTCCTGAGGACTCTGGTTGAGCGACCCGACTTGCAGCCTTTGGTTCAAAGTCTTGATTGTCAATTCTTCTTGAGACATGCGGAATCGACGATTGCTAATGAGGACAACCCGGCATCCGCCCCACGCTACCAGAAGGCTTTCGAGTTTCACAAACATATTATCGAGAGTACTAAGCGGTCTCCCTTGTCCCAGGAAGACTTGATCTTAAAGCATGTCGCGGCCACCAATCATGGCCGTGTCAACGATACTTCCGAGCGTGCCTTGGCTGCCATTTTGTGCTTGACCCCTGAACTACGGGCTCTTTCATTGGCTCCCTTGCCCGCTATGAAATGGCTCCTTACTACCGCCAGTAACAGGGAGTTCTTTGCTCTTCAACATGAATATCACTACCATACATTAGTTTCGCTGGTAGAGAGCGCCCGCCAGAGCAAAATTTGTCCAGGCGCGCTCCAGCACCTGCAGGCAGTTCGGTTTACCGCCCTGTTTGGCTTCAAGGCCTTCGGCGGCTTGGAGGACGTTGCACACTCTGAGGTTGAGGATGACCCTACTCGCCGTCATTGTGCTGGTTATACGTTCCCGCTGTGCAGCTGTCTCAAGCTCTTACTAGGGCCCAATATTACAGAGTTTGAGGCTGACGCCGTGGATAAGTATCATCCCGGCAACTTTCGTGATCCGAAGGTACCAATTCATTGCAGTATCAAGCGAGCTTACTTTACTATTTCCGCTCCCTTGCACGTGTTGAACCATGTCGGCCATGCTTGGATCTATCTGCCCTCAGCGTACGACCTTCTCTGGTGGGATTGTTTCCAGAAGAAGGGGTGTTCAATCAGGTTGCAGAACTCGATGAATGGGACAAGAGTTTTCTTAACATCAAAGGTTCTCTCAAGGAGCTAGACATTGCTCATGTCGAGGGCTATGAGCAACCATCGCATAGGCTCAGTTCTCTTCCGCTTCTTGAAGCACTGGAGCATTTGTGTATCGGAATTCCCTTATTGCCGGACCATTTTTCCGAGTCACCGCTCCATTCCCTGCTTCCCCCCAATCTTAAAACACTCAGGCTCCACGATTGGTTCACTGTAAAATACTACGACAAGTACCACCCCAGCCTCGACCATCTTGAGATGACCGAGGATGAAGTTGAAGACGGGCTCAAGCCATTGGTCAAGTTCCAGATTGAGTTTTCCACCGCTCTCCGATCTTTCTCCCAGATCTGCGGAAATACTCATCCTCACTTGCGGTCTCTCCAGATCTTCGGCTTCCTCCCGATGGAGAAGGTCTCCTTTGACTTGGCGATGAGTAAAGATGAGAAGACTAAGGATGATTATTTCCAAGCGCTCCGCGAAATAGACCTTGACGGACCTGAGCCAGGACAAGTCGTTCGAAGCGGAATGGAAATCCAAGGTCTGTTTGCGCAAGCTGGGGTAGATTTTGAGGAGCTACTTCATACACAGGAGTTTCATTATCCTTTTCGAGCACAAGTCAGTCGATATCAGTAAGTTCAGTCAGAAGGTTAGGGAAGGGATGATTATGATCTCGCGTTCTTTCTATCCATGTTTCGTATCCATGTTTCGTATCCAATTCATTATCTTCAGGCCACACTTTCTTTAATCCTATTCAATTCTTCATGATGTACCTCTCTACTCTCTCACACACTTTTTGGATTGCACGAGTAAGCCGAAAAGTTTCACGTTGAGCGACCTGAACAGCAGAAGATGGCATGCCACTTCAACGCATCAAAGAGGCATGCGATCTTTTTTTATGCGCTGAAGAGGCATGCCATCTTCCTGCTGTTCAGGTTGCTCAACGTGAAGCTTTTCGGCTCTTGGATTTCCAGTGAGCATTCCGGTTTCAAGTAAATTATCACTTTCTCTCTATCCACAATATTTACTTTTTATTATAAAGAGTACTCGTGATGTAATGATCCTAATCTTTATACTTCATCCGCCACGGCCGTAATGATCTAGCAAGCCCCATCGGCGACCTCGTCTCGACCACGACTGGCAGCTCACTCAGAGAGATCTTCTCGCCCTCTTTAATACACACAAGCCTGTCCGCATCCACCAAAGCATCGAGTTCCGTCAACGACGTAGACATGGGAAGCGGCCGATGGGTGCGTAGAATGGTGAAAATCCCCGCGAGCACGAGCAGAAATACCACCAAGTCGCCAGCGATAAACGCCCATCCGGTCCAGTTCTGGATCCGAAGCCTCTGGCTCGAGGAGCCTCCCTTCGCCATAGCTCTCATTTCATCGGGGACAGCAAAGTCTCCCAAGATCGGGATGAGGTTCGGCTTGACGGTCAGAGTGTGGTTCGCCTGCTGCTTTGCCGTGATGCCAAACTGGAACGGGATGGCCATCATATTCTGCAGGGTCGATATCAAGGTCCCGTCTTCGTCTTGGAAGAACTCGCCGTAGACACGGTGAGCCCAACCAATAGTGTATGTTAGCGAAGCAATGCTCGTGTTGTCGAACGCCTTGCCGCCAGGCTTGGGTATCAAGAGAGTTTTGAAAATCTTGAGATAGTCTGTTCCGTTCAGCTTGATTTGCTGTGGCGTGTCTATGGGTTCCACGTGTAGGATTGAGAGATTTGCCCGGCTGTATGTAGTGGTGGCAAATTGCTTGTAGGCGCTCATCATGGTCTGCGATTTCATTTCGTCTTGCTTCCATCCTTCATCAATATCACACTTCTTGGCGTCAAAAATAGCCTGAGGACAAGTCGACCAACCTATTTCTGCCTGTTAGCGACAATCTTTTGGTGTTCCATCCCTAGAAGCGCAAAGGCAAAAGAGAAAGAGGTTGCCGTGAAACCCCGTAGAGAAACTCACCAACTGCGACGTCCAAGCCCACCTGTTTCACGCATATCTTGATGCCATCGTCGACCAATTGCCCCCCAAGAGCACACTCCTTCTCAACATCGAACGTGAAATTTGAACTCAGCCCACTGAAAGTGGTGATGAAACCAGGCGCATCTTCGATCTTGATTGCTTCGTCGTTCTTGAAGATGCCATCGTGCATGATGGAGCTGTTCAAAACGTTGCTGATCTGGCGGACGGTCTGAAGCCCCCCAGGCCAAATGAGAGCCCGGCAGTCGGTCTCACACCCTTCCATCCTCGTCTCGATCGCGTATCTGCTGTTGCTCTGCAAGCTTGAGCTCCACGTGGTATAATATTGGGCCAGTTCAGCCGCCTGTAGCATATCGACCAACCTGATGTCGATAGGTACCAGGCCAGCAAAGACGGGCATTTCGGTCGTGCCAGGAACGAAGTAGTATTCGAAGTCTGCTTGAACTGTTCATCGGCTCCATAGTTAGCGAACAGTATGTAAACCGGGTTGGAGTTATCGTACATTTTAAAACGGAGCCGAAGCCAAGATTAAGCAGCGGTAGGCCCAGTCTTCCACAGGGTTAGCTTAGGACATATGCATCGAGGTGGTTTTGGTGTTAAGAAGGTCGTACCTAGCCATGCACCATGCATTCAACATGTACGATGCAACAGTCAACTGGGCAGTAGACCACCACTGCGATGAAGGTCCCAGTCCGTACCAGGTGAAGGCCGATGTGCCTGTTGGACTGGCGGCCCAATGAACCCGCAGAGATGACAAAACATTCCGCAAGGCGGTATCAGAAAGGAGAGCAGAAACCTGGGAGAAGATGGATACCAGCAAATTGGTCGTAGAGGCGTCGAAAATGGTGGATCCGACGATCACGATCCGTCGTATCAATACAAAATAGATGAAGAGACAATAGAGAAAACTAAAGAGAATAAAGATGCCGAATATCCATAGAAGGCCACTAATCGATCTTGCCTTGGTTAGAAAGCCATCGTTGCTGGTTTGTACGTGGCCGTTGTTGCCGCCGTTGTCAGCGATGATGTAGTTCTCGCTGCCGTTATAAACGTAGTTGTAGGTGATTTCTGGACTGAAAGGCCCGGTCCTCAGATCTTCCAAGGCAACAACAGTAGAGGGTTTCTTGTCGCGATCGCTCCAGTAGCTCGGGCTTCGTGAAATCGGCTCAGTGTCCATAAGCCATGACCCTTCTCCTGATTTCATGATCACGTTCCAAACCAGAGACGCCAAAGACTGCTTCTAGTTGGGGCTTTATCGGGAGGAGCGATTTGAAGCTGACTCGGTATTATGCTTAAGCTCCCGTGCATAGTCTAAGAAGTTTAGTAGACCAGCCACAATTAAATGCTAGTATCTCCTTGATATATCGGCTGCCGCAACTTTCCCTCCCCAGACCCATTAATAATGTACGAAGTGAGCCTGCGATAGGGCAGGGTTGGGCATGACAGGGTGTCAATGACCTTCCACACTGTTCTTAGCCATGTAACGTAAATCCTTACCCCTCCTCGTGAGCAACACAGGGCTTTGTCCACTACCACTGGTCCGATCTTGGATTCCACTGTCATATAAGGGGATATTAAAGCTGGAGGGCCTATTAAAGGTCCGATAGCCCTGTATCCGACGGATACGGTCCCAGGCAATACGAACCAACCAACACAGAGTCAGACTCGTCCCCAAGCCAAGGGAATCGGAGACCAGAGTGATGGGTAAGGCTGAAAACTGGAGGGCTCCCCACCGGAGCCAAGTTGATTGGCGCATGTTTAAAATCCCGCTGGAGCCCAGCGAATCGGCCTCGCAGGCCTCCCTCCAGCTCTTATTCATCGTATTTGTTGTCAATCGATCCTTCAGCACTTGCCGGGTACTAGACCCTATTGGTCACCGGGCAAAATGGCCAGCTTACGCAGGCCTCCATGGGAAAATGGTCCAACTCGGGCGCTCTCTCGTCCGCCTTAGCGAGCGCCTTACCCGTCATGTGGAGTTCAGCTAGTCTTCTTCATGGATCATCTCGAAAGAAAGCCTTCAATAATATGAAACTCAGCTCCTTGGGTCTCTCCGTCGCAGCTGGCAAACCGGCAACGTTGCACTCTTCCAGGCTTCCAGGCCGAAAAGGGGCATCTGAGCGAGTCTTGGGGTGGTCTGGACCATCGATGTACCACCCATTGCCATCGCTCATGCATTAGTTGCATTCGCTTACTAGCTGGAAAAAGCCAAATCCTTTAGATTTGGAGCTAGCCAATGGTGCCCGTCAAGCGCCTAATCTCGGGCTTTTGCAATTTCTAGTTTTTCTGATGATGCAGACGCACATTGCTGATAATCACATGGGCTACCTATCCGTAGCGTTTTCATCTACAGACCAGCCCTATAACAAGTCAAGTAGGTGACAGGAGAAATGAGACACCTAATAAACGAGTTGGTTATTATTCGACTACTTTCTGCAATGAATACCTAGAGAATTTAAGTAGTATAAAAATAGAAGAAAGGAGTAATAAATACAGAATTATATATTATTAGGACTCAATAATCTGAGAATACCGGTCGCAGACTTGAGAATAAGCAGCTTATTGTTTGAGTGTCTCAATTTCAATCTAACCCACTTGCCAATCTGGCCGTGCGACCAAAGTTCCAGGCCCCCTGGATCAGACTGCCGGGCTTGATCTCTGTGTTCGGGCGTCGGCATATGATAATGCAACCCAAGCAACTGGGTCTCAGCTAAAGAGCGAGTGCTTGGATCGGCCGCCGCCGCATTTGATACCGAAGGCAAGAGTTCAACCAAGATTGAGCGCCCAGCTGGTGAGATCTTTCAGTGTTTCATGCTGATTCAATCTGGTCCAATTCTTACCCCAACCCCATCGTATTCGGGTTCTTATCCCTGCCACGACGATCGAAAAAATGAGATTACATAATACAGTGATATTTTTAGATTGTCTCCACTCGCATGAGCCCAGGGATAGCGTCATTGCTTGAGATTCGTTGCCCGTGATCCTCCTCTTCCGCTTGCTATCGTGGTGAATCACCCGTACATAGTGAGGTCTTAAAGGCATGAACCGATAGAGAAGTATCTTGTACCGCAAATAAGGTTGTTGCTAGCTTTTTTGCCGGGTTAGGCAGGAGTGTTTGGCATAACGGTATGAATGCTAATCGAGACAAGTATTTTGTGAGGAGTACTGTTATATGAGAGGTGGCCACACCAATCGAAAAAATCACAGCCTAAAACCAGGGAATTCATCATAAAGAATCCAAGAGCTTATCATGATCATTACCGTTATTAATTTTCACAGAGCACGAGCTACTGGTAGACGATGGCGACATCATCTGATAATCCCGCATCATGGGTGTATAGGGTAGGTAGGTATTACCATGAGAGAGATGTTATTAATAATCATGTAACCCACCAAAAGGTTGACCTACCCTGTGGCCATTAATAATCCCCTGAAGCTACCGAATCAATCGGAATCGGCGTCTTGTCCCTCGGCGCTCATCGGAGGAGAGATTGCCGGCCGGATAAGCACGTTTCCTCCGCGGAAAACCCCTCACCCCCGATCAAGGAGCTGGAGCACTGTCGGAGAAGCACTGGGGAGAACTGTGAGCGAATATTATATCAACCATCTGGTCAGTCCGTCGGCTGTATGCGCTATTCCCATTACCAAGAGTCAAGAC